TTTACCCTATTCATAATCTGAGTAAGTTCCAAATCCTGGAGCATTTGTAAAGAATGTCTTTTGTTGGATTATATTTTTCTTCTGGACAGAGTTATTTGATCTCTTATATGATGCATTCTTTGCATTTTGTCTTTCAGTTTGCCCTCCCTCCTCCTCCCTTTCTCTCCCTTAGTTTGTTTGCCTGTTTGTAATGCTTGATCTTTTTCTGTTGGTCATGCTTGACAGCTCTGCCCAACTTTGTATTTGTTTGCCTATTGCATGAGTGACTTCTTCATTCCTTATACATTTGTTCTTTGCTCTCCTCACTTTTGTGGTTGCAAAAATATAAACTATAATTTTCTACTCTACTCTTCTTTTGTCTCTCTCTTCAGTAGGTCATAGTGACCTACATAGCATTCCTGAATTCTGACTGGGCATATTTAGTTTTTTCTAACTAGCCCTGATGTTTTTCAGTGCTCCTAAAAAAAAAAAAAAATCCTCTGATTCTTACTGCGTACACAGCATCATCTCAAAGTTTGCTCCCATAATTGGGAAGGCCTCTGTATCTAGAATCTTTTTTCTGGAAAGTGCCAGAATTCCCTTCCCTGTTTTATTCATTCTCTTCTGTAGCTTGGCAGCATCTCCCAGTCATAAGACGAATGGAATTCATTTGATTTGTTTCTCTCCAGATTTGAGTTCTTAATGAAAATTATTATTTCATTTCTCTGACTTCTGATACATGAGGCCCAAGATAGTTAGCTCATCAAATAGTATTGCCCCATTCTGTATCAAAATTGCAGAATCTTCCCTTGGCTTGCTAGCCCTTTTGAAGTTTTATGAATTTGGGCTGTTTATATTTTGTGTATTTGCTGCTAGAGAACCAAGCTACCTACTTATTCACTTTCTACCTTATTTCCTTTGTTCCTTTTATTTTTAATTTGATATTGGGCGAGAGACAATTACGTGAGCCACTACTTAATTTTAGAAGTCTTTCTTTGAATTTTTTTAAAATGTGGGCAAATATATATAACATAAAATTTACCATCTTAAGCATTTAGGGTGGTTTTGATTTGCATTTCTCTGACTGCTAGAGATGGTGAGCATTTTTTCCGAGTACTTGTTAATTGATTGTATGTCCTCCTCTGAGAAGTGTCTGTTCAGGTCCTTGGCCCATTTGTTGATTGGGTTATTTGTTTCCTTATTGTTTAATTTTTTGAGTTCTTTGTATACTCTGGATATTAGGGCTCTATCTGAAGTGTGAGGAGTAAAAATTTGTTCCCAGGATGTAGGCTCCCTATTTACCTCTCTTATTGTTTCTCTTGCTGAGAAAAAAACTTTTTAGTTTGAGTAAATCCCATTTGTTGATTCTTGTTTTTAACTCTTGTGCTATGGGTCATCTATTAAGGAATTTGGAGCCCAACCCCACAATATGTAGATTAGAGCCAACTTTTTCTTCATCACTCTTTTCCTTTATTCTATCAGACGCAGAGTTTCTGTTTTGATATCAAGCTCCTTGATCCATTTTGAGTTAACTTTTGTGCATGGCAAGAGAAAGGGATTCAGATTCATTTTGTTGCATATGAATTTCCAGTTTTCCCAGCACCATTTGTTGAAGATGCTGTCCTTTCTCCATTGCATGCTTTTAGCACCTTTGTCAAATATAAGATAGTTGTAATTTTGTGGATTGGTCTCTGTGTCCTCTATTCTGTACCATTGTTCCACCTGTCTGTTTTGGTACCAGTACCATGCCGTTTTTGTTACTATTGCTCTGTAGTATAGTTTGAAGTCTGGTATTGCTATACCGCCTGTTTCACTCTTCCTGCTTAGAATTGCTTTTGCTATTCTGGGTCTTTTATTTTTCCAGATGAATTTCATGATTTCTTCTTCTTCTTTTTTTTTTTAATGTCTTTCTAAGTCATCAGTGAACCTTTATTTTATTTATTATTTATATATGGTGCTGAGAATTAATTCCAGTGCCTCACACATTCTAAGCAAGTTTTCTACCACTGAGCCATAACCCAGCCCTGAGGTTTCTTTTTAAATAGAGGCTTTTCTTTCTGTGATTTTGATTTTAGACTCTCCCATCTGAGAATCACCCTTCATTCTTATCTGCTCTGCAGACTGACTGAGTGGCCACCCTGAATTTCTCCCTAGTCTGTGGTACAGTCTCACTTATATGCTCAGACTGCCCCATGGTGTGGGCACCTACTGATCCGGTGAAAAGTAGAGTTTAAGTAACTGGTGTTGGGTATTCAAAAAGCCTATACCAAGAACAAGACGAGAAAAGAAATTGTGAAACATGAAAATACAAAGTTAAGGGACTAGGGTTGTAACTCAGTGATAGAGCGCTTGCCTTCCATGCGTGAGGCACTGGGTTCAATCTTCAGCATCACATAGAAATAAATAAATATAATAAAGTTATTGTGTTCATCTACAACCAAAAAAAATTTTAAAAATTTATTTTTTCTTTTAAGAAAGAAAAAATAGGAGGTAAACTTCCAGGATTCCTAGTCTATCACTTAGGAAGTCCAGAATAGTCTTTTTTAAGCTGTCACTTATTCCCTACTTCAACTGTTCCTTCTGGGGAGCTGTGGAGCATCCTCCCTGTGCCAGATTAGCTTGCCATTTCTGATGTTTTCTACTCAGATTGCAAACTTGTTGAATAGCAGCATGTTTTTTCTTTAAACCTAGTGGGAAAATGTCTTTTGGCTCTGACAGGTGCTTACCTTCCCCCACTGAGCCATAGCACACCTGACACTGCCACCATCTGTTGCTTTTATTGTCTTTCTATTGTAGAAGCTAATATTTTTGGTTTTAACCTAATTGCTAGGTCACTGAGTTGCCTACCAGTGTTTTCCCACAATCTTTCTGCCATAGTTTGCTACTGCAAAACTGCTATTTTAATTCATTCTTATGGAGCTGCTATGATATTGTGGGTTTCTCTGATTCACATTTTCCCTCTGATAGCTAAACTAAAATCTTTTAAGAAGAAAAAAATTTTGTGTGCTTATTTCCTAAGTATTTTTCTTAATATTCATAAGAGCCCTAGTTTATTATTTAATAAACTTATTATTCCCATATTTCAGTTATGAAAAGTAAAGCACATTTTTATAAAATGACTGTCCCACAACCTCATAGCTAATGAATGTGGAATTGGATTTGCATCTTTTGTTTTTTTCTAAAAGATTTTATTAGAACCTTTGTTACGGATACATCTTTATGGCAGGAACATTTTTATAGTATTAACATAAACTTACAGCCTTTATTCTACAAATAAGCAATATTTGCTTTAGAAATATTTATCCACTTTTGGGAATATATCATATGGAATTAACTCTTTGAGGCAATAAAGTAATGAACGTCCAAAAGACTAGAAATTAAAAAATAAAAATAAAAACTTCACCTGGAGATTTAAGTTTAAAAATCAGTACATAGTAGATCAAAGCAGAAATACACAGATCATCATAAAGATAAATGATAGCTCCAGGAATGAAGGTTTTGATCATTTTAAAATATATTTGTGAAATTCAACAAGTTGTTCCTGTTAAATATTATTACTTATCAGGAGACAATGGTTTAATTTTATTCTTCTGAATAGTTACAGGCCCCTCTGAAGGTTTCTTTTTAAGAACTTCACATTCTTTTCCTATTTTCCTCATCACTCTTTTCCTTCTCCCAACTCTATAACCATTATTGGACTGTTGCAGAGACAAGAGGAGATGGAGAAGAAAGATGATGACAGTTATAAACTCATTATAAATTCATTATGGCTGTGCTTCTATTCTACTATTTTGTTTTTATGCATTTTTTACCGAAAATGTATATATACTGCTGGGACCTACACAGTTGAACCTGAGAAACTGGTGAGGGGTGATAGGGGATTAAGAAAAACACATACACAGAGATATTAAGATAAAAGGTTGGAATCAGATGTAGCACTGCTCTCTGATGGAAAAGCAGTGACTGAAGATTTGGCCCAGCAAGTTTATTTATATAGGATCTCATAATCAAGAAGTAAAGGATTATACAGGCATGATTCTTTGTAGGCTAGAAAGTTACAGGACTAAAAACATTCTTGTAACTATTTCACTGTTGCAGTATTTGGTGGAGCTTCCTGCAGGACTCAGGAAGCCCATTGTCTAAAGTTACTGTTAAGTGGGCAGGCTCAGAAGTAGCATTGCTGGTGAAACATAGGAGTTGTCTTGTCATGCTCAGAATTCCTCTTTCCCTGGGAATTATGTGCCTGTGATCAAGGTTGAGACTGATAAGACTCTTGAACAGAGCCTCTTTGGGCCAAGCATCACCATAGCAACTGGGCATCCTGAAACCTTGCATAGAAACATTTCCAGGCAATAGACTCACCACAGCCACGAAGCAATCAGGGATCCCCAATCTCAAGTCACTGCACTCCACAATATACATTATGAATGTATATGGCATAGGGGTTGAGTTGGAGTTGAATGTAAGTTCTGGTTTTAGATGACCTATGTTAACATCCTAGCTTTTTCAATTAGGTAAGTTACATTAATGCTGTGTACTTCGGTTTCATCATTCATGAAGTGAAGGCTATAATAGCATGAAAGTTCACTGCTATATCCCGAACACCTAGAACAGTGTCTGGCAATAAATAATCTTTTAAATGAGAATAAGAAGTACTTTTGGTCCTCAGTGGTTCATCTATACTTTTTCATAAACTTTGTTTTAAATTTATTTTTAAATTTATAAAGACAAAATTCATCCTGAAATTAATTTGTTTACTACTTTATGGTCAAACCATCCCTTCACCTTCAGCTCCTGGCAAACACAAATCTATTCTACAACCTTATAGTTTGAGTTTTCTAGTATGTCAAGTAAATAGAATTATAAACTATATAATCTTTGGAATCTGGCTTCTTTTACTTAGCATAATGTCCATTTATGTTGGTGTGTCAGTTGTTTATTCTTTTTATTTTTAAGTAGTATTATGAATATGGAACAAATATTATCTACAGTCTTACCCTATTTTGTTCTTTTTGACTTAGCTTTCCAGAGTGCTGGATCTTCCACCAGAAAACTTGATCAAATCAATATCTGCAGTTCCAATTTCCAGAAAAGAGTTAAGTATAATTAATACATTTATAGTAATCTATAATGTTCTCAAATTTGTTGAATAAAAAATTGTTACTCTTCAATTTATGGAATAGTCTTTGAAGTGAATTATAAGATGTGATTCATTATATTCAACTTATTAGTGTAATCAACAATAAAATTAAAATCTGTATTGGACACTCTGATGTGACAGGTAATATTCTTATATTAATTATTTTTATGCTTGCTTATGCTTGTAGTGATAGTTGTGTCAAAGTCTTTGGGAATGAGGTTCAAATTTAATTATTTAAGAACTAAATGTTTTGAACCCTTGGTTTTTTCAACCATCTGATGTTTAAATACTGTTGTACCATATTTAATCTAATAGGTTGGTTGTATTGATTTTGTTATTTGAGTTTCCTTTTGAAGATTCCTAGTGACAGAGAACTATTGATTTTGATAGCATACAACCTATAGTAGCTTTTTTCAATTCAGAGAATTGTGTTTGGTCATCCTGATATTTGTTTTTGCTTTGGGTAGAAAACTTTCATACTTAGATGAAATATCCTCAGTTTTCTACAATCCACAGGGTCCCCTTCAGGTCCCATAATCCATGAGACAAAAGTATTCAAAGAGAAACTGCATCTGTACCTTTTTTTTTTTCTTTTTTTTTTTTTTTGGTCATTATGCCCTAAATCTTACAATATAACAACTAATTACATAGAATTTGCATTGTATCAGGTATTATAAGCAACCTAGAAGTAATTTAAAGTATATATAGGATGTGTGTAGGTTATATGCAAATATTGTACCATTGCATTTAAGGGATTTGAACATCTACAGATTGTTTTATCTATGGGGTGTCTGGAACCTCAGGCACCAAGGGACCACTGTATTGTCAGTTAATAATGACATATTTACCACATAGTAGGCATTGAGCCCCAAGGTTTGGAAAGAGGTAACCATGTAATTACTGGTAGCAATATGTATTTCATTCCCTTAATTTTGTCAAGACTATTAGCATAAGATGGATATTCCTGTTCTCAGGATAGAACAAAGAAATAAATGAAAAGGGAAGAGAGAGGCTACATTTGACCTTGTAGTAAAAGAGAACACCTATAAAATGGCCTACTGCATCTTCCTTTATGTGAATTCCAAGAACAGAGGCAACAAGGGACCAAGGGGCTCTCATAATTATATGTAAATTTATGTAGTTTTCCACATCAGTTACTTATTTCGTAAAATCTGTAATTTGCATTCTGCATAATAAGGGTAATCTCTCAATTTTAATGTCTTCAAAGACCTAATAAACTAAACTATTTTGACCCATCTTTTGAATAGGATTGCCTTTGCTTGCCTTTGCTTTAATAATGCAAGGTACTAAGATTTTGGTTTATAAATAATAAATATTGAGAACCACTTCAAAAATTTTCCGAGCCACAAGTCTAAAATTCTCCATACTGAGGAAACCTTTACTGTTTTGCTATAATAAATCCAGAGTATCCCTTACAGTTAAAAATCAAGTCTCACTGTTCCATATTTCTGACTTTATATTAGAATGCTATTAAGTGCTAGGAGAATTAAGAAATATTATTTTTTGCTGGCATAGAATAGGTAATATAAAATGAACCAATTTGCTCAGGTCTGCTAGTTCTCTATGTATTTTCAGCTATAGTGAACTTCCTATATAACATTGATTTTATTAGAATTGAGAGCATTGTCATAAGTCAGTAGTACTCAAAGCCTGTGGCTTTCACATTAACCAACACAAAAACCTTCGGAAGTTAGTGGAAAAGTAGCTATTGCTTTTTTTTTTTTTTTTTTTTTTTTTTAAAGAGAGAGTGAGAGAGAGGTAGAGAGAGAGAAAGAATTTTAATATTTATTTTTTTTTAGTATTTGGCGGACACAACATCTTTGTTTGTATGTGGTGCTAAGGATCGAACCCGGGCCGCACGCATGCCAGGCGAGCGCGCTACCGCTTGAGCCACATCCCCAGCCCCTGCTTTTTAAACTTACTGGTTTTAATTTTTAAAAAATGAAAGTAAGAGCCGGAGCAGTGACACTCACCTGTAATTCCAGGGACTCAGGAGGCTGAGGCAGGAAGATCATGAGTTCAAAGCCAGCGTCAACAACAGTGAAGAGCTAAGCAACTCAGTGAGACCCTGTTTCTAAAAAAAAAAAAAAATACAAAATAGAGCTGGGGATGTGGCTCAGTGGGAGTGTCCCTGAATTCAATCCCCAGTATCCCCACCCCCCAAAAAAATGAAAGTAAGAGGGATTAATTTCATAAAACTATAGAGTGCAAAACAATCTCTTTAAGGAAATTCAGGAAAATACAGAAGAATAAGAAAAATAAAGTCCCAATAATCTTACTATAGTAGGTGACTGATTTTAGGAAGTTAGTGTATTTTTCATTTCTTTGTCTTTGAATATGTTTTTCAGATTAAAAAAAAAGCTACAAAACTAAGATTTTTTAACCCTTTTCCTTGACATCACTTTTTTTTTTTGTAATATTCTGTTATTCTACTGTTGATAGACATTTACGTTGTTTTCAGTTTTAAAATTTTTATACATAATTCACATGCAAGAATTATCTCTTCAAATAGACAAAGCAAAACCAAAAGTTCCTTTTGGGTGTATGATTAAAAGTTCCCCAAAGGGGCAACTGGGAAGTAGATGGAAATCTGGTTGATCTCCCTCACTTCCTTCTCTTTTGCACCTTTGGTAGTGGTAGGTAACCTTCACATAATTTCAGAATTTATGTTTTAAATATTCTTAGTTTAATAAATTGGTATTAATCATTGTTAACAAACTAAAAGGATCAATTTTTTTGTCCTTCTGCCACTGAACTAATTAGAAATATTTATGATTCCATGGAGATTATACAATTTTTAAATTAAATTATTAGTATGTTATACCTTTCTAGAATAAAATTACAAATGCTTGTTACTCTTTATAATTTTACACTATTTTTTTAAAAATCGTATGATTTCTTTGTGTTTTCTGGATGTTTGAGAGTCTGAGTCATATTAAATCTTCTCTAAAATATCCAAGGTATGTATCAACAAACAATAATTTAATCTTTGATGTATTCAAATCTGTATTTCAGTTTATATTATTATCAGGGCTCTTACTACTTTTTATTTACATCATTTTCTATAATTTTTATATATATATATATATATATATATATATATATATATATCTTTGAATTTGTTATTCTTTTTATGTTATTCCCATGTTATTAACTAGTTTAGTTCCCCATGATTGGCATAAATACTTGACTGAACTATCAAGAGTTCTTTGGTAAGAATAAATACATTCAAACCTTAAAAGAATTTTACGATTAATTTTTAGAAAATTGAATTATCATGTACTATAAAGTAGAAAAAGACTTTCCCAGAGGTCAGTGCTGATACTATTTAACATTTTCATTTAACATCAGAACTAGGATTAATATAATTCATAACCAAGACTTGATTTCTAAACAACACTGTGAAGTAGATTCCATTGTCATCACCATTTTACTGAGTACTGAGAGATTAAGCAACTTTTCCAACATCACACAGGCACTGATTGGTAGATGAACTTGGGTCTGTGGTAATAGCTCGGATATCAGTAAATGAGTTGGGTTGGTTTGTGTTAGCCACTCTGAATAATGGATTAAGGCCCCCCGGGAAAATTCTTTTTAATTTTTTCTTGGTATCGGGGATTGAACCCAGGGGCGCTTAACCTGAGCCACATCCCCAGCCTTTTAACTTTTTTGAGACAGGGTCTTGCTGATTTGCTGAGGCTAGTCTCAGACTTGAGATCCTTCTGCCTTAGCCTCCCAAGTCAGTAGCATTTCAAGCATGCGCAACTATATCTCGCAAGGCCCAGGAAAATTCTTAATGATTATCGTAGACTTTTAAAATCTGATGTTAACCAGAAGTCACACAGGAATTTTTAGATATTTCCCTGATAATCATAAGTGATAAGGAAGTCACTTGTGCCCCTCTAAAGTATGCCCTTCTCATGTGAGTGACGTGCTAGACAGAGAATGGACAAACCACGTACTATACTCATGAAGTCCTATTCTGTATTCTCTTATTAAACATCAAAAGATGTTAGTGTAATTACACAGATGTATGTTGATTTAAAAACTATTTTGTAGATCTTGAACTTTGTACATTTTAAATCTACAGAAAAATTTGTAGAGAATAATAAAACACTCACGTGGTCACCCTCTGAATTAAGTTTTTTTCCATATTTTTTCATTTTTATTTATTTATTTTTTGAGAGGAGAAGGATGGCTCTTGATTTTTAGTAATAAAATGTTACAAATACTGTTCAGGTCACTGAACTGTACTTCTTTGATTCCATTCCCTACTTTCTTTTCTTAGAACTGCTCTCATCAAGCAAATGATGATTTTCACTCATTGCTGGTGTTGTATTTGTTTTTGCATTGTTTCATCATCAACCGAATGAAAAGGATAAATGGCAGTGTCTGTTTTATGAACTACTGAGTATTCAGAATGAATTTTTTTCCCTCGTGTTGAAACTCAAGTTATATATATATATATATATATATATATATATATATATTTTTTTTTTTTTTTGTCATTTGGAAGTCAGTGGAGGAGCAAGAATTAGAAGCAAGCATTTGGAGTAGTGTAGGAAGCATCCTAGGAAGAGGTCAAAAGACCTGAATTTTTGTCTGCATCTGCTTAGTTGCATTAGAATTTGACAGGAGACATTTAATTTGCCAGACACCTCTGTCTATTTCACAGAGATATCATAAAGTTACAATTACATAACAGAAAAGGAAAAATTTTATAAAATGTTATAAATGTTAAAAAAAGTTTTTAAATAAATACAAGGTGATTTCTAATTTCCTTGCTTTTAATTTTGAAAACATAATGCCTTTTTCAATAAAGTCATGTTCATATGACAAATACACAATGATTAACCTTTGTTAAATTTGTAATGCTTCTAAGATAACCACAGCTCTTTCTCATTTCAATTTCTGTCTTTAGAGAAGTAGCTGACTTTCAGCTATCTGTGGATTCTTTACTGGAAAATAGCAATGACCCGGTAAGACCAGATATTCAAGTTCAAGCCAAGAAACTGGCAGAGAAGGTATTTTAGCACTATTATCTCTATTTAACATTATAATAAATTTAGCATTTTAAAGGAAAAAAGAGTGCTCTCTGCAGGGTTTCTCATCTGTAATAATGAATTTAATAGTGTTTCTTTTTTATCTTGGAAAATATCATTTAAATTCATTTTAGCCCTGTACTACTATAAGGTTACAATGATTTTTCAAGTTATTTATAAAGCATTCCTCTTGAGCTGACAATGTTCAATTTTTTGATTAAGTACTTCAGAGTAGGACTGAAGTGTTAATTAAATTTACAGATTGAAGCTGGGTGGACTTTTGAATTTTGGAGAACAAGCTTGATAAATTAGAGCTGTGGGTTGCAGTTTTTAAAATGAGTTTCTGAGAAGAACATTAAAATATGAGAAGAAGTGATTAAATGTAAATGGAATCATGATTACAGGGAAGAAGTGGTTAGATGATTTCATAAAACTTAAGTATTTCTAAGTTCCCTGGTGGGTTTTATTTATTTTAAAAGATTGTAGAGAATGACCAAATCTAAATTGTTAGTGTAATACCCTCAGCAAAAATAGATATTAGATAAGTTTTGTTGTTATTGTTAATGGGGTTATTATTTGTGACACAAGAGGTATCTGGGATCTCTGAAGAATTGGAACAATGAAAGTCACTGTCAAGGAAAAAGATTTGTGAGGAATGAGTATGATAAAGGAACTTTGATAACTGAGTAGATATTTATTTGATAATAAAAATCACCTAAGATTTTTACTAGGAAGTACACCAGGAGTAGAATTAATCTAATTAGGATATTTAATCCCTTTCTTCCTATTTCTTGTTCTCAAAAATATAGACTAGAAGTTCTTCAGTAAACACTAGCACATCTTTAGTTCTATAGGTTTATCAAGGGGTTTGAACATCTAGGTGGTTAAGGAGGCTGGGCATGAGCAGAGAAGACAGACTAAATTATTTACATGCTTTGTGTTGGTTCAAAAGCTTTAGTTAGGATCTGACCCAATGTCATATTCTGTGGCTCTTGAGTAAGGGTAAGTGCTTATTGCATGACAAATGGAGAATTTGAGGTGAAGGAAAGACAAAGGGGAAAGGAGATACTCTGAATACAAAATAGCATTTCTAATAAGGAAAAAAAGAAAATGTATTTACCTAAGTAAAGTGGAGAAACTGAAGATTGGCTAAGGCCCAGGTCCACCTGTAATGACTGTAAGAGGTAACTCAGCTTGACTTTGTCAGCCAGTTGTAGTATTAGAACTGTATGTCTCATTGGGCCTATTTCATAATATGCTTATTTTCTAGCTGAAATGTGATACAGTAGTGAGTGAAATCAGCACTGGTCCAGGAACTGTGAATTTCAAAATAAACAGGGAACTACTAACAAAGGTAAGAATGAGTTATTATCCAGCCATTGTACATTCATTCTCTTCTTTAATTGCACTGATCTTCCTCCTGCTCTGAAACTCATTGTACACACAACCTTTGCATATACTGATCCCTTTGAATGGAGTGCCACCTGAGTTTAACAGCCTGTTGGATCTTGAGATTTTCTTGGCAGTAGATTTCTGATCTTTTTATATTCTCCTATAGCACTCTATATTTCTCCTTTATAGAACCTACCATAGTTGGTATTTAAATTCCTTTTATTTGTTTAATACCACTTGCCCTTTAAACTCTTATCCCCTTAGGGTTAATAGCATCTGTTTTTTTTTACTGTTGGATCTCCATAGTTTTTTAGCAGTGTCTAGCACATAGTAGATGCTAGATCGATATTTGTTGAATGAATACATCAGTTTTGTATTGAATCCAAGAAAGGGATGCTAGTTTCTACTCTCTGGTATTTTATAGTCTTGTTAGAAACATAAGATATATACAGAAGAAATCATATACAGAAGAAATCATAAGACAGCTTTTTCTTTTAATAAGACAATAAATATTAAGCCCGCAAAAGGCAATTAATACAGTAACATAAGAAAATTCAGAGATAAAATTCAGAATAAACTTACAATAATCTGAATATGGACTCCTTCTCATTAATGTTCACCTCTCCACTTGCAGTCTTCTTATCCACGTATTCTTAAAGTATTAATGTTTATTGGGACCCTAGTATATGATAGGCACTATTCAATTTAACATCTGTATATTAATCCTTTCTCTATTTCCTACTGATTGTATAGAGTATTATTTTCTCTGTGACATTGTACAAATAAATACTATTTCTGAACCTTAGTTTTACATTTAATGGAAAATGTTGCCCATCTTCAAGATTATGAGACTACAGAGATAATATAAATATAAAAACTCCTAGTCTTGAACCAACTAGCACTCTGGGGATGTGTCTTCTTGTGGGATTTTTGGTCTTGGTGGTTTGTTTTGCAGTGCTGGGAATCACCCAGGACTTCACTCCACACATGCTAGGCAAGTGCTCTACCACTAAGCTATAATCCACAGCCACCTGTGAATGCACCTTAAATGTTTGTTGTATGTGTTGTTTTACTTCCTGCTGCTCCCATCTCTGCCTATTCTGTCTTATAACCATCTTAACCAGTTCTTTAATAATAAAATTTTTCATATCATGAACTACATTTTTAGGACTCAAAATGCAGTTGATGGATCAAAACCAATTTAAGAGTGAATAAAAGCTTAGCAACAGTAATTTCACAACCTAATTTTGGGAGGTTTTGTTGTGGTGATGGTTTGGGGTACCAGGGATTGATCCCAGGGGCACTTAACAGCTGAGCCACATCCTCAGCTCTTTTGAGACAGTGTTACTTATGGTATCACTAAATTGTGGAGTGTGGCAGGCTTTGCATTTGCAATCCTCCTGCCTTATCCTCCAAGTCACTGGGATTATAGGCATGAGCCACCGTGTTCAGCTTACATCCTACTTTATTTATTTATTTATTTATTTATGTATGTATCATAGTTGGACACAATACCTTTATTTTATTTATTTATATGTGGTGCTATGGATTGAACCCAGCGCCTCACACATGCTAGGCAAGCGCTCTACCACTGAGCCACAACCCCAGCCCAACATCCTACTTTTTGAAAGACACATCATCACCATTAGCAAAAAACAAAGTATAAGTTCGTGAACTATACAACAGTTCTGTTAGTAGCTAAAAATTAACCTAGAAGGTTTTAGAAGTTTCTGCAGGATTTCCTTATTTTATACTGTGTAGCCAATAGCCATTTAACTATGTGTTCTTATATTGTTTTCCTACCATTGCTGGTGAACTTTAGTACCATAAGAACTGCAACATTATGTGTGCAGCAGTTAACACATTCACTGGGGAGTGGGAAAAGTTTTTGCTACATGACTTAATAGCAATACCTTGGGAAAGTTACTTAACCTCTCTTTATTTTTCTTTCCTCATTTCTAGAAGTAGTACTTATCTCTGAAGCTATTATAAGAATTAAATTAATTGATACATGATTATATATAAGAATTAAATAATTAACCCATACATAGCATAGCCCTTGGCACTTAATAAACACTAGATGCTGCTTCTGATTTTGTTATTATTTACTGTGGGACTTCTGTATTACCTAACTTCATTAAGCCTCAGTTTCCTCATCTTTGTCTACATCATTGGCTACTATAAGGATGAATAGATGTGATTTGTGAGCATAGAAAGCCCCATCAGAGTTAATTCCTGTAAAGACTGCTGTGACTAGCATTAGCAACAGGGAGGTTTGTGCTGAAAATGGTGCTGCTGACAGCGCTATAAAATTTTCAGTTCCTTCAATTAGAATGAACAAATTAGCAACATTTAATTCTTAGTAACAAAGTAATTAAGAACATTGCAATTTTATTCTATTGTTAAATCCCACTCCTTTTATATTTCAGGCTGTGTTACATCAAGTAATAGAAGATGGCTCAAAATATGGACTAAAAAGTGAACTTTTCTCTGGTCTTTCCCCAAGGAAGGTTGTGGTTGAATTCAGGTGAGTGACCATCCATCTTTGGGTAGATTAATTAAGTTGACTAGACAGGAAGTGTTCCACCCCCTTCTTTTGGAGTCTCAGTAAATTACATGTGGAAAAGTTGCAAAATAGTGACATTATATTATCTTCTTAAGATCATGGTGAATCACTCATTATACCATTAATAAAATGAATAAAAATGGATTTGGGGCCTCCAGTTTGAAAAATATCTAGATTTATTTATTCATTTTTTTAAGAATTTTTTTTTTTTTGAGTATTTTAATATTGATTTTTTAGTTATTGGCGGACACAACATCTTTGTTTGTATGTGGTGCTGAGGATTGAACCTGGGACGCACGCATGCCAGGCGAGCACGCTACCGCTTGAGCCACATCCCCAGCCCCATTTTTTTAAGAATTTTAAAGTAAGCTGATTACCAGAGAATACAGCCTTGCAGTTTTTGTGGTATATTCTTTTTTTTTAGTTGTAGTTGGACACAGTACCTTTTGTGTGTTGCTGAGGATCAAACCCAGCGCCTCACATGTGCTAGGCGAGAGCCACAACCCCAGCCTCTGTAATATATTCTTTTGATTAACAGAAAATAGCTAGAAGTTTTAATATGCCTCTAAATAGTCTTCATTTTACTTTCTAATATACTGTCAGTACAACTCTCAAATATTTGTACTGTTCTGAAATAACCAAAAATATAAAGGGAACACTAAGAACTAACAACTTCGTAGTATAGCTGACAGGTTGACAGCTCAAGAAAACTATGAGATAGTATTTTTTTTTTTTCCTAAATGATAAAAAGTCTTGATGAACTGCTTTTTCACTTAAAAAGATGAAACATGCTAGGGCCTTTTGTCTTCTTGTGTATTTATTCTTGTGGAGAATTTTTAAGAAACAATATGGGAAATATTTTATGTTTACTACCTTATTGTAATTTATAATAATAACTTTTAAACTTAGCTATGATCACCAACTGGATAAGCAGAGAGAGTGGGTTTTTTCAGATTCCACATGTGTATTATCTGCCACTCATTATTGTTCTTAGAAAGGGTAAGTTCTATAAGAATCAGATTCGACAGTTTATGTTTCAGTCAGCTTTTTTGCTGCTGTGATTGAAGACCTGACAAGAACAATTTTAGAGGAGGAAAAGTTTATTTGGAGCTTTTGGTTACAGAGGTCTCAGTCCATAGACAGCCAGCTCCATTCCTTGGGCTCATGGTGAGGCAGAACATCATGGCAAAAGAGTGTAGCAGAGGGAAGTGGCTCACATGATGATAAGGAAGAGAGAGAGAGAGACTCCACTTGCCAGATACAAATATATACTCCAGAGGTATGCCCCCAAGTACCTACCTCCTCTAGCCATACTCTATCCACCTTTAGTTACCACTCAGTTAATCCCATCAGGTGATAAATTTACTGATTGGGTTAAGACTCTCATACCCCAATCATTTTTCCTCTGAACCTTCTTGCATTGTCTCACACATGAGGTTTTGAGGGACACCTTACATCCAAACCATAACAATTTATGATGGGACTAATTGAGTGAACTACTGCTCCTGTGGAGCAGATGGTTATGGATGAATCTTACACTCTCAGTGTAGCACCATCATATTTAAATTTGATTTTAAATGTTTGTTGCATGACGAAGAGGAAAGGGACTTCCTATATCCATCCTCATACCAGAGAAGAGCTACAATAAATCCATCTCTCTAAGAAAGTGGCCTGTTCTTTCAGTCCTCTCTTCTTGAATAAGAAAGCACTACAGCATTAAAAGGAGATTTGCAAACTTTAGTCCATGGACAAAATTCAGCCTGCCACCTGTTTGTTTGTTTGTTTGATTTTTATTAATTTTTTATTTATATATAACAGCAGAATGCACTACAATTCTTATTACACATATGGAGCATAATTTTTCATGTATCTGGTTATAAACAAAATATATTCACACCAATTTGTGTCTTCATACGTGTACTTTGGATAATAATGTCCATCATATTCCACCACCGTTTCCAACCCTGCATTCTAATCCTCAGCACCATACACACACACACAGACACACACACACACACAAAATACACTGCCACCTGTTTTTGTAAATAGTTTAATCAAGACACAGTCATGCACATTCCTTTGTATTTCATCTACAATGGCTCCTTTCATATTACAGAGGCACGTGAGCAGAGTAGAACTATTTGAATTTAGTAGTTGAGACAGAGATCACATGGCCCAAAAGCCTATTAAAAATAGTTTCTGTTTAAGAAAATGTTTGCCAGATATTGATTAGTGCCAACAACCACTTTAGTGGATGAACTATTAAAATGAACCATATGAACTAGATGTATGCAGTGATTCTTCTACTTGTCTGAGTTCACTTATATAACTAACTACTGGTCATCTGGAGATTTTAGTGAGGCTAGAAATCTAAGGTAGTGCATTGATTTAACTTATCTGTCCAGGCTTCTCTCTCTGTCCACATTCTCTCCAGCAATATGCCAGGCCTCTTTACAAAGGTGTTCAGGACTCTTAAGTGAAAGCATCTAGAACATCACTCTCTGAGTCTTCTGATTGAAGCAAGTCACAAGATCACCTCCAGGTTCAGAGGGAAGAAAGTATGCTATATCTCTTAATGGTGAAAATGGCAAAGAATCTGTGGCAATGTATAATTATTTTTCATTCATGTCTTTTAAATTGAGGAAGGACACAGTTTTCTTCTCTGGGGAGGTACTTAGTACCATATTATTGTTAACCTCCTTTAGATTACCTAACCAACAGGTAAAAGAAAACTAGGAGGGCTGCAGTATAGAATCTACTACCATGCTTTTAACCCTCAAATAATAGCACTGTAAATTTCTTGCAACTTGAAAAATTGCCACTGGTCCTCACTTTTAACATCTTCTGCATTTTTATTTCACCTTCCCCATCCCTTCTCCCCAACTGAGTTCTCAAAATACCTTTCCTCACTGATTTCCTGGCTTTTTTCCTAAGTTTATGTTTCCCATACAGTATGTTTTTTTCTTTTTCTTTTTAAGAAACATCTAAAGATAACCTGTTCTTGTTGAGTTATGTATTTGTAGGCTTTTGTATGGCAGTTTGTTTATGGATTTACTTCTCTCTGCTTTTTTCCTAAAGCAATTAAAGAAGGATGAATTTTGTTCAAGTGAGCATTTGAATGTGGTGAAGGCAGAGCCTATCTTATCAGCTAGCATTTCTCTCTGATGGTTTTTATCTTTCGTTGTTGGGAGTCATTGCTCCTCTCTCCCTTAGAAGTTTTCCATATGTTCCAGCAGTCACCATTATGATTTCAAAGTAGAGACAGCAGGTGGGGAACAGGTTCAAAATTTACTATTTAAAAAAAATGTTCTTGAATTTCTTTTGAAAACGAGAGATGTGGGATAATTTTTTTTTAAAAAAATATATAGTATCTTGAATACAGAGCAGGGAACTTTTCTCTAAAAAACCAAAAATTGTAATCTTGGTTTTCAAGAGACTTTCCCCTAAACTAAGATGATAATACTAGATTAAGTAAATTGCCCAGGTTCATAGAGCTAACTCTGATTGTATATATTTTTACTGCCTCCTTAACAGAGTGTAGGTTGTCATGTTATTTTGTCAGATCTAGGAGCAGTATGATAAAGTGCCTGGGTACATGGCTGTCTTTCATAGACTTGGTATAAGACTTGAAACTAATTACTGTTGCTTCTCTTCTAAGTTAGCCTTCCCCGTTCAGTACAGATCATATCTGCTGGAGTACAGTTAGCTGGGGCAGCATTTTCTCTTCTTTCTTCCTTTTTCTCAGGTCCCTTTCCAGCCTGCTGTTTCAAAATGTGAGCTGTTATTCTTAAAAAACCAGATTAGGCATGTCTAATTAGTAAAATGGGAATCTGGGAAGTCGGAGTAGCAGTTCTATTAGTAATTGATGCAGTGATCTTAAATGGGACAATTTATTTCTTTCATCTCTTATTTGTTCTTTCTTATAAAATTAAAATAATTACATGAAATAATTTAACAAAAGTAAGTAAATTATTTGTGAAAATGATTTAGCAAATTGTAACTCATAATGGTTATTTTGTTGCCTGAGGAATTTAATTTATCTTTTCCATTTTATTGTATTCCTTTCTCAGGAGGAATGTGATGTAAGAAAATGACGAATTGATGATTTCAGTGGACATTCTGTCAAAGCTTGAAGATGTAGATAGATTCAATTTTTCTATTTAATCTTAGGAAAAAACCACAAAGATCTGTGAAAGTTTTTTTTTTTTTTTTTTTTTTAGATATTATAAGTATCCAAATACAATTCACCATATTTAAGCATATAATTTGATGAATTTGGGCAAAGGTGTATAGATTGTATGATCACCACCACAATTATGCTATAGAACTGTGTTTCTATTGTTTCTTCCATGATATTGACTTTTGCCTTTATCTATATTACTTCCATTTATCCTGCTTACTTTGGATTTAGTTTTTTCCACTTTTGCTAATTTCTTAACAAGCATTATTGATTTAAAATCTTCTTGTCTAATATAAATATTTCATGCTACAGATTTTTCTGCTTTTGCTGTGTCCCACAAATTTACTGGTAAGACATTAATGCGATACAGTTCAGTGACTGATCTTATTTGCTCTCATTCTCTGATTACAGTTCTTAATTGCCTGTTGTCCAGTTTGGAAACCAGTGTTTCAATTTTTTTGTTTGTTTTCTGACTGCTGTAAGGCAAGAATAAATGCAATTTTTGATTTTCTCTTTTGGTTGTAAATAGTAGATTGTGTATTTTTTCAAGTCTATAGAATGAAATTTACTTTTTTCCTAAATGCTTGAATGAACATATATGTAGTTTTGTAATGCTGTAATTGTATGCACATATCTGTGGAATCAAGTTTTTAAATTATAATACTCTTTAAAAGAGTATATAACAAAGCCTTGGAGACCAAACAAAATTTAAACTCTCATTTACTAGCTATGTTAGCTGGAATCTTCTTTATGTTGAAAAACTTAATGACATTTTTAAGTGTACACAAAACAGATCAGTTTGGAGTATTAAATGAGTTAATGCATGTAAAATGCATGGCAGAAAATAAGTCCTCTAGAAGCATTTACCATAGTTAAATGATTGATTTCAGTCAGCTTTTGAGCACACATAGAAGTGATTGATCTGTTGATTGAGAATTTGGAATGATGAATCAGTCCTAATTATTCTGAGAGGTTTCATTAAAAAATATTTTTACATTTTAAAATTTTTTTCTGATACAGTGAATATTAGCATATATAACTCATGAACAAAATTTCTTTGGGTTCCTTAATACTTCTATTCATAGTTATTATTGATGCCTTATCGTTGTACATAGTGGTGAGATTCATTGTTACATATTCATTCATGCATACAGTATAACAATATAATTTGGCCAGTATCATTCTCTAGTATTTTCTCTTACCTTCTCCATCTCCCTCCCCACTCCCCCTGGTCACTGTTCTCTACTCTTCTGATCTCCCTTTAATTTTCATGAGATTTCCTACCACCACCATTTCCTTTTTCCTCTGCTAGCTTCCACATGTGAGAGAAAACATTGAATCCATGACTTTTTGAGTCTGGCTTATTTCACCTAACATAGTGTTCTCAAGTTCCGTCCATTTTCCTGCAAATGACATAATTTCATTTTTCTTTATGCTGAATAAAACTTTACTGTGTATATATACCAAATTTTCTTAACCCATTCATCTGTTGATAGACATTTAGACTGGTTCCATAGTATGGGTATTGTGAATTGTGCTACTATAAATATAGGCATGCATGTATTGCTATAGTATAATGGCTTTAATTCTTTAAGATAAATACTGAGGAGCACTATAACTGGGTCATATGATGGTTCCTTTCTCAGCTTTTGAGGATCCTCAGCACTTTTTAAGAGAATAAAAATTTGAAAACTTGTACACTAAACTCAATTCCCAGTGCTCTGTATTGTTTGTTAATCAAAACTATCTCTGAACTTAGTCTTTTAAATCAATCCTTAAATATATCTGCTTCATAGGTGAGATATTTCTGTGTATTCTATTAATTCATGAACCATAGGATCAATGTCACTAAGATGATTCTTTCTGAATTCTAATTTATCTTTACATGTCTAATTTTTACCTTTTCTCTGCCCTAAATTGCCAAAGTCCCTAGTACCTAATTATGTCAATCTATGGAAGCATGACCTAATTAATTCATAGAACTCTTTTTCTTAGAATAAAAAAAAAATAATAATTTTTGCAATTATTTCCAGTTCACCTAATGTTGCCAAAAAATTTCATGTTGGACATTTGCGTTCCACCATCATAGGTAAGTGCTTACTTTCACATAAAATACCAAACATGCCTTTGGGAAAATATATGTAAATACAGTATAATGGTTTAATTTTAAATGAAAAGGAGGGACAGAAAAATTTAAATCAGTATGAGCCTAATGCAACTTAAATATTACATGAAATGGGAAGAATTGGTTTAGAAATTTAAAAAATAATTTCAAAACCAAAGATTAACTTAGAAATCGTTTTTAACTGGCATCTATGTTATGATTTTAACTTTTAAAAAATGTGTGTGCATATGGAGAACTGAAAGATGCAAAATAAAAATAGTTATGTGGGAATGATAGTAATCCTCCAGATTTTTTTCTTCATATATTTAAGAAAGAAAATCTCAGTAAAGTGAGCACTAACTGAAATATGCAAGATAGGAAGTTAAAACAAGACTATTCTAAACAGAGATTACCATAATACTGCATAGCGTAATGCTTCAGTGTATAATATGGTTTTATTTATTTAAAGCATTACATTTTACAGAAGTCCAATTTAAAACTTAGAGTTTTATATTATATTAGAAATGGAAAGCACTTTAAAATCTATCTCATCTAGTCTTTCTTCCAGAATAGAAATCTATTGCATGCTCAAGAGAGTCTCTTAACTCATACTTGAATACTTTTAAAAATTGGTGGAATTAATATGTATGTCATAGAGTATCACTGATATAGGGTCAACTCTCATTGAGTTTTTGAGCAGCATTTTAAGAGAGGAAATAATAAGACTTGATGAAAGGAATATAAGAAATGAACTATATAAGAAAAGTTACATGAGTAAGTAGAAAAATGTAGGAGTAAATAAATGATGGGTAGGGTACAGTAAAGTTGTTTTAATAGTTAAAGAAAATATTTGAACCGAGAAGAGGTATTACTTATTGAGAACTTACCATTCCAAGTGTTTTCATGTATTTCCTCACTTAATGTCACAACAACCCTGGTGTTAAAGTACTGTTAATATGGTTTATGGATCAAGAAACTCAAATACCAAAAGTAACTTTCCCAAGATCACATGGCTAGTAAGTATTGTAGCCAGGACTTAAAATTTGTCTAATTCCAAAAGCCTAGGTGTAGACATTTAATTGAATATAGAAGATAACATATAGATAAGATAGTAGCAAAATAGACATTATCTGAGTTGTAGCTGAAGAAGTGGGTTCTTGTTGCTGGGACTATGTAGATTTGGATGGTCTAGAAATAGAGAAGTTGCCAAAGACAATAGCTGTAGTAATTTAAATCAGGTACATGTATCAGTGAGGGTTTATTTGCAGAAAACAAAATTGACTCTTAACTTAAATCAGGAAAGGATTTATTATATGATATTGAGTGGTTTACAAAGTTGTTAGGAGAGCTGAAGAAGCTTTTGATTGAGCCGACAAAAATGGAGCTCATAATTACATCATCGGGGTTGATTATTAAGGGGGCTCCTAGCTCTTCTGCTGTCACTTCTACTGCTCTAGACTTCCCAGAGTGGTGGCACACACTTTTAAACCCAGTGACTTGGGAGACTGAGGCAGAAGGATGCAAGTATGAAGCTAGCCTCAGCAGTATAGTGAGACCCTGTCCCAAAAAATTAAACAGTGTTTGCAGAGGATGGGGAGATGCATGCTGGGGTGTATCTTGATGTTAGAACAACCCCAGGATTCAATCCCCAGGACTGGAGAGAGTGGAAAATAGAAGTATACTGATATGGCCACAATTGAAAGACTGTTACTGCTTGTGTCATGTTTTCTAAAATACATATAAGCAAAAGAAGCAACCTTATAACCTTTCTTTCAACTCCCTTAAATTTCACGAGAGGACACTAGCACTTCTGTTAGTGGTGCCACAAAAAAACAAAACCTACAACTGTGCTTGTCAGAAAAAAATAGAAGTAATTCATTCCCCTTCTAAATCTCATGCAAAGTCTGTTTGATTACCCAAACCTAGAGGATTTCTGGAACCCTAACCACAAGAAAATCTGGGAAATACACTTTAAAAAAAAAAAGGTTTCTAGCCTCTTCAGTACATAAGGGCATACCAAAGGGAGAGTTAAACAGATGTTGAGTCTCATCAAACCACATCAGTAGTACATGAAGGTAAAAGCCTTGGACTACTGCATACTGTTAAGGATGCAGAGGATGGACTATAGTGATTGAAAGATATTGAAAAAGCTATTTAGAAAAATAGAACATTTATTCCCCATGTTCTTAGGGTATAATCAAATAATATATTTCTTTTTCTTTTGTCAATATTGAACCCATAGGCACTTTACCACTGAGCTACATCCCCAGCCCTTTTTATTATTTTGAGACAGGGTCTTACTAAGTTTTTTAGGGCCTTGCTAACTTGCTGAGGCTGGCCTCAAACTTGGGATCCTCCTGCCTCAGCCTTCCCAGTCACTGGTATTATGGGCTAGCACCACTGTGCCTGGCCAAATTATTTATTTCTTGTTAATCACTAAAATTCTGTTATTTTTCTATTCTTGGAATTGACTAGGAATCGCAGTTATTCTGTGTCCCAATCTACATTAGTAACATTGTTGAAAAGTCTGTTCTTAGCTGGACATAGTGGGGCATGCCTGTAATCCCACTAACTGAGGAGGCTAAGGCAGTTCATGGCCAGCCTCAAACAAATTCATAAGACCCTTTCTCAAAATAAAATGTAAAGCTGGGCACAATGGAGCATGCCTATGATACTAGTGGCTTGAGAAGCTGAGGCAGGAGGATTGAGAGTTCAAAGCCAGCAAAAGCAAAAGTGTGGCAATAAACAACTCAGACCCTGTCTCTAAATTTAAAAAATACAAATTAGAGCTGGGGATGTGGCTCAGTCGTTGAGTGCCCCTGAATTTCATCCCCAGTACCTAAAAAGAGGAAAAAAAAAAAAACAGTAAAAAGGGGTGGGTATGCAGGTCAGCAGTAAAGCGCCTCTGGGTTCAAAGAAAAAGAAGAAGGAAAAAAGTTCTTGTAAAAATGGTGAGATTCTTTGAAAAATTACTTTCCTAAAAGTAATTCCTTACTTCCTTTCATAGCATAGATGAAAACAATATTTTTTAATGAAAAAAATTGAGTTGGCAAATTTTATGAAAAGAATTTTTTGTTATACTTTGATAATAGAGAAGCATATAGTTCTTAAGCCAAAATTAGTAACAAAAGTAAGAAACTATATTTTTTACTGATTACTAGGAAATTTTATAGCAAATCTCAAAGAAGCTTTAGGACATCAAGTAACAAGAATAAATTACCTTGGAGACTGGGGTATGCAATTCGGTAAGTGCATTTGAGATTTTTTTTCATTTCATTTTAAAGTTTAATTTTTAAAATATCTCATCATTTTTTCATCTGAACAGATTATTGGCACAATCTCACTGCATGAAATAGTGTGCACTACGTGGTTTCTTACATTGTTTTTGTGGTGCTAAGTATCGAACCCAGGGCCTCAGATATGTGTAGCACATGATCTACCATTAAGTTATATCCCCAGCCCATAATCTTATTTTATTTATTAAGACTTAATTCTCACCACACATGTTTTGGGAAGGAAGCTTCACAATTAGAGCAAGACCTGAGGTAGGGAGGTAGATAGGTGTTTTTGTTTGTTTGTTTTGTTTATATATGACAGCAGAATGTATTATAATTCTTATTACATGTATAGAGCACAATTTTTCATATATCTGGTTGTAACCAAAGTATATTCACACCACATGTCTTCATACATGTACTTTGGATAATAATGATCATCATATTCCACCATCAGTGTTTTAATAAAGAAAAGTAGCATACATTTATTGGTGAGGGCAGAAATAAATCTAGCTATATACACCCTTCTCAACCACATCCCTGTTTTTTTTTATAAATCTGTTGAGGTCTAGCCCACATGAAATGGGATCTGTTATTACCATGGACAAATGACCTAGAAGAAAAAGTGTGATACTTTGGCTTCCCCAAAACTAAACTAATAAATAAACAAATAAGGCTGGTTGTAGTAACTATACAGTGATAGTGGATGGAAGTCAAAAGGAAAAAAGAAGCCCAAACAGTTAAGCACCACAAATTGTCTTTCTTCTTGCCAGTTAACTAGGAACTATTCCTAGTTCATATAAACCAGTCATCCTGGGGGAGGGCAAGATTAGTGAAGATATTATGGTAGCAGTAGTGGGGGCTGGTAACATGTGAATACAAACTTTTCATGTTTTTAAGATGCATCCATATTGTCCACATCTGTAAAGCATTCTCTGATGTGCAGACACACCCTTGCCTGCCAGCACCACTCATATAGGCTTTTGTTTTATTGCATTCTTTTGTGGGCCTCTCTCCCCTGCTAGATAAGTTCTGTGAAAGTGTGGACTGTGTCTTAATTACTTTTGTATCTGTAATGTTTGGCACATAAGAGGCGCTCAGAATGATGAACGAAACTCCTGGGAAGTGTTTTACAATACTAATCAAAAAAAAAAAAAAAACTAGGTAATATTTTAACACTTGTATGAAAGTATGCAATGCACATTGCCAGTTCTGAAATTCACTGATACTCTTATGTTCCACATCCAGTGAAATGAATTCATAGTTTCTAAAAGAAAGTCTAGTTCATTTGAAGAAATATTTTCATAGATTTATCATGATCTTCTCTTATGAATATTATTCTTTAGGTAATAAAAATCTTTTTCTGACACTAGAAGGGGTTGACTCTGTTAATAGTACCCCTAATATCACTGTGAAGGAATCAGGAAAAAAGCCCTGGATTTTGAAAATGCACCTGCAGTTCACAACAGCTGGTAGTAAAAGGTTTAGGCCTGAGGCTCAACAGTCAGACTAATAGATGGTATCCGCATTATATTAGTTTAACTGATTTAGGCATTTCACAGTCATTAGCAAATATGTGATTATGGTTTTCATTAAATTTTAGCTGCAGGATTTTATTATAGTGGTTTTTCTCTGAAGGACTACTGTGGTTAATGATCTGTCAACATTTCCATTATAACCATCATTGTTCAGGAGTTAAAATTTTGCTGTTTCAGCTATCCCCATTTGAAAGTTGGCAGATGGCTCCTGAGAACAGAATTAGTTTTTAAACATGATTAGATTGAATGTTAAATGGAATGGCCTTTACTTATTCCCATTTCTGCTTTTGTAGAACACACTACTCATTGTTCCATGCCCTGCTCCCCCTTTTTTTTTTTTTGCTTTAGTTATTATTTCTGAGTTCCAAAGGCATTATATATAACCATGTTTATTAGCATTACACATTCTTCTGAGCCTGAAAAATGTACTTCAGCAAGGCCCTTTAGCTCTGAAGTTTTGTAATTGACATTGTTGTAGAAACAGATTGACTTTCAAAATAATAAACTACACATTTCTCTTAGCTCAGGCTACATATGTCCTTTCAAACTGAAATTAGTTTATATTAAAACCTTTTAAGAATCTCTTTTTGTTTGTTTCTTTCTTTCTTTGTTTTGGTACTGGGGATTGAACTCAGGGGTACTGAACCACTCAGCCACATCCCCAGCCCTATTTTGTATTTTATTTAGAGACAGGGTCTCCCTGAGTTGTTTAGGGCCTCGCTAAATTCCTGAGGCTGACTTTGAACTTGTGATCCTCCTGCCTCAGCCTCCTGAGCCTCTGGGATTACAGGCATTCACCACCGCGCCTGGCTGAATCTCTTCTTTTTAAATATCTTTAGTTGTAGATGGACACAATACTTTTATTTGATTTATTTATTTTTATGTGGTGCTGAATTTTGAACCCAGTGCCTCATGCATGTGAGGCAATTACTCCACCATTTAGCTACAACCCTAGCCAAAAAATCTCTTAAAAATATATATATTCACAGTCCACAATGGGAATTTCCATTCCTAGTTTGCAAACCTTATTTAGTATTAAAAAAAATTTAGAATAGCACTATTCCTGAACCCTTAACTTATCATCAAAGACTGAAAATATGTGTGTTTAAATAAAAGAATTTGTCATTTAGCTACTGTGAATGGAAGAAGTAATCAGGTATGTTTTGAATTTTATCTTTTTTGGTTTTCTTCAATTTAAAAACTAATATTAAGGGAGGCAGAGGCAGGAAGATTGCAAGTTTGAGGCCTCAGCCACTTAGTGAGGCCCTAAGCTTAGCGAGATCCTGTCTTAAAATAAAAAGGGTTGGGGTTGTACTTCAGTGATAAAGCACTCCTGGGTTAAATTCCCCGTATATGTATGTGTATGTATGTATAAATAAATAAACAAATAAGGCTGGGGATATAGCTTAACGGCAGAATGCAACTAAGTTTAATGTCTATTACCTGGGCTGGGGGACTAACATTATAACACCAAGCCCGTTACTACTTTTGTGTGTTACTTTCACACCTACAAGTTCAAAAAAAGTTTTAAATCATTTCCCATCTGTTTGTTTTCACAAATTTTGAGTGTCTAGCATCTCAGAGTAACTGCTCAATAAATGTTTCTTATTGTCTGCTAGGGAGTTGTTGAACACTGTTAATACAAAGATGAAAATAGTTATAGACCCTGCCTTTGAGTTCATAGTCTTGGTTTCTGTGAATTAATATCAGTGATCTATTTATTATACAGTATTGCCTATGTCATTTAATATATTGAATTTAACTTGTATCCATTTACAGGATAACAGAAGGTTGAAAATGTATTTTGCAGTAGTTCTCAGGGTACATAAATATGAGATGTTGATCTTATACAACTGTCCCTTTTCCTGCCACAACTATTCTCTGCTGTTCCATTTTATAATTTTTCATTTATGGATTATCATGGTAGGTCTTCTGGGAACAGGCTTTCAACTGTTTGGCTATGAAGAAAAACTCCAGTCCAATCCTTTGCAGCATCTCTTTGAAGTAAGTTGGCAAGAAGCCATTTTAGAAAATGCTTCAAAGTTCTGTGCAATTTGGTAGCCAGTTTGATCCTAGAGGTTTATAAATATGTTCCTTAAAATAAGGAACAAAAAATCAAAAGTATTGCTTTCATATTTCTAGCTTGTTCTTTTCATTTCCAAATCCAAGTGTTTCTGTTATTACTTTTTTAGTTGGTCAGAGACATTATTTCCCAGGTATAGAATCTTCTTAAGAATAAACACATAGGATATAGCAGATTAGACACTGAGAAATTTCTCTGTTTTCTGTCAGTTGATGTATTGCAGCTTTCTAATAGTAGTAATAAGTGTCATTCATTTAGACTTGTAACACATGAATGTTTCTGGTTTTGTTGTTTTGTGGGTTTTTTTTGTTTTTTGTTTTTTTAGTGTAGAGAAAGGCATATGTGTTTCCCTCTGAATTTGTGTATACTTTTTTCCTTTGTCATCCAGTTCATTTTCCTGGCTCTTTACCCAATGTAAACTCCTTTCTATTCTTCATTTAGTCCTCTTGATACTTTATTTCTCCGTCTTCTAGCTTCCATCTTTCCTGGAGTTCATTAGTAAACCTCTTCCTCTCTGAGTAATTTCCATGGATGAGTTTCCTTTGCATTGTCCCAATTGCTCTCTCTGCTGTTTCTGGACCTCACAAAGAAAACACAGATACAGTGCCAGCCAATGTGACATACCAGGGAGTCAGATCAAAAGATGTTCTGCCTGTGCATCAGGAAGAGCATTTGCCAAAATAATACTATACTTCCCAGACAGAGCCATCAAGAGCAGTTTTTCATTTTCCTTTTCATTATATGATTTTCTTTTGCCGCTGGCTTTGCCATTATAATTGAACAAATTCTACTTCTAAAAGACCTTTAAAGGTTTGTCATTTTCTCCGGAGTCCATGCCCTCACTATACTTTAAATGTATATATTTTGATTTATATTAACCAGATTTCTCTTTCCCTTTAAAAATTTTGTTGATAAGAATTTTTTTTTTTTTTTTTAAAAAGAGGATTTTTTTTTAATATTTATTTTTTAGTTTTTGGCGGACACAACATCTCCGTTCGTATGTGGTGCTGAGAATCGAACCCGGGCCGCACGCATGCCAAGTCGAGCGTGCTGCCGCTTGAGCCACATCCCCAGCCCGTAGATAAGAATTTAAAAATTAATAATTCTTGGGCTTGGGGTTGTGGCTCAGTGGCAGAGTGCTTGCCTAGCATGTGTGAGGCACTGGGTTCAAGTCTCAGCACCACATAAAAATAAATAAATAAAAAAGGTCCATTGACAACTAAAAATTTTTTTAAAAAATTAATGATTCTTGGTTATCTATAAATAAAGTGCCTGGAATTTTTACTACTTTATGTTTTTAGCGTTTGAATAATGGTATTTTTTACCATAAGTTTAGCAAACTTTTTATCAAATCCAGGTCCATAGAGATACTGCATGGCACAAAAATATACAAATATTTGCTTGGAGACCTTGTATTATAGATTTATAGTAGAGTCTGACACCTGAAAGTTACTCCTCATACCTCTCTCCTAACCCAATTTAAAGTTTGTATTTAATCCTGCAAATAGTAAGCCTTTTTTTTCCTGTAATATTTTAAATATTTTAGTCATATCTATTCTCAAATTCCAAAGAAGCATAAGCATGTTTCTTTCTATGCTGCTTAGTATGTTTTCTGCCTTTTGAGATTCATAAAAATAGTGGGAGATTAGCCGGGCACAGTGGCACATGCCTGTAATCCCAGTGGCTTGGGAGGCCGAGGCAGAAGGATCACAAGTTCAAAGCCAGCCTCAGCAAAAACGAGGTGCCAAGCAACTTAGTGAGACCCTGTCTCTAAATAAAATACAAAATAGGGCTGAGGATGTGGCTCAGTGGTCAAGTGCCCCTGAGTTCAATCCCTAGTACCCAAAAAATAAAAATAGTGGGAGATTGGCACCTATGTTAGAGGTTATTAGTTGATCTATACTCTTGTAAGGAAGAAGTAAGGGCAGGACTTTTCATGTGAACAACTAAAAGCTCAAGGAACATTGATGTTGCTTTCATTATTTGTCTTGTGCCTAATTGAATCAGGGATCAGTGTTTTACAGATGATAAAAGGCAATTGAGGTAGACACCATCTTGCTATTGGGAATTAAGCAAATACACCTATGAGAACACTCACCTGTTCTCCTCCAGCACAGAGAACATGCAGAGCCTATAATAGCACTATTACATGTATGCTAATTTTTGCAGATCCAGTTTTCATTTATGAATTAGTTGTCAACTATGGAAATCTTTCATTATTGACTTTCAGAGTAATAAGGACATTTTTCTTTTTCTTTATGGTGGTTTTTTTTTTAAAGCTTTAAGCAAATATTAAAGAATATTATTCTGTTCCTAAAGGAAAATCTGAAAGTCATATAACAACTGTGTTTATTTGCTAATTGAAAGGCCCCCTTCAGTGTCTCCTGTGGCATAGATAGTAACACAGAGTATCCCCATCTGCATCTCAGATGATTAGAGTCAGGGATAGTGATTCTAACCTTGGTTTCTAGTCTGTTGGTAAATTATGTCAGTAGTAGCTTATGGGAAGTAAACTTTTAGGTCAGTCTACATTTACCCTTTCTTATTTGTGAACATCTGCTTTCTCAAAGCTTTAGTTGAACCACTTTTTCAACTTGTCAAATTGTAGTTAGTCGTGAACTCTTTGAGAGGAATATCCATGTCTTCCTGATCTTTTTTTTAATTTTGTTTATTTATTTTTATATGGTACTGAGGCTCGAACCCAGTGCCTCACACAAGCGAGGCAAATGCTCTGCCGCTGAGCCACAATCTCAGCTCTTCCTGATATTTTACTCCCAGCCCCAGACACAATGCCTTTCAATAAATGTTTGAATGGATTTTATCTCAAAGTTCTTTTTCTCCTTTCCTTGTTTTTATTTCTGTTGTGCAATACAAAACCTAATTGTTAATCCAGAGATTAACAATTATTATTATTATAGGATACACTAATTACTATGTATTAGAATCTAGCATACTTTGTTAACTTTTTTCAGTTCACTAATGAACTGAAGGACCAGACCCAGATCTTTTCTTTGATTGCACTACAAAAATAGAATTTTTCTTTCTTTCACCCTCTAGTAGTGTTCCAGGGACACAGTTAGCACTTCAGTTTGGGTAGTTTAAACCTTCTGGTTTATTTGTGTTGAATTTGGCTTAACTACTACTGACATAATTTACCAGTACACTAGAAACCAAGGTTAGAATCACTATCCCTGACTCTGATCATCTAAGATGTAGATGGGGATATTTTGTGTTACTATCTATGCCATAGGAGACACTGAAGGGGGTCTTTCAATTAGCAAATATTTTCTACCTAATAAAGTTCCCTAGACTCTAATGTTGTTATATACCTTTCAGATTTTCCTTTAGGAACAGAATAACACTAGCAGATTTTGTAGACTAGTTCCCTCTAAATTGTGCCATGATCAGTATCTCCCAGTTTCAGGTTCTCCTAGATTAGACATAATATTATACAATAGATTTTTAATACTCAGTCATTTCTTTACTGTATTTCCATTTTGGTACCAATGTTTCACTGCTGGTTTTCTCTTTACCTGTACTGCATTATTTTCACCAGACATCTGTGTTGTACAGAGAGTCAGAGCTTTTGTTGATCAGCATTTGAAACCTTGTCTTTAATTTGTTTATTTCTGTTATGAAACAGGAAAGTAAATTTGTAACAGTTCCCATATCCACCTTGAATTGGCTGATGATAAATAACTTATTTGCTACTTACAATTGACACTAGTCGTAAAGTTTGGAACACTTGTCAAAAAGCCTTTTTATTTTTATCATAGAGTAATTTCTTATGGTGAAAAGTTAACTTGTATTAAATCTGGGTCATTGATATGTCATTTTATGTTTTAATAATACTTCTTTAAATTCATTTCTCATTTTCTTTTTAGATAGAATCTATTTGATAACTCCCTACATAGTACCTTTAAGAATATGTAAACTGCCTGTCGTGGTGGTACTTGTAGTGCCAGCAACTCGGGAGGCTGAGGCAGGAAGATCACAAGTTCAAGGCCTGCCTCAGCAACTTAGAGAGACCCTGTCTAAAAATTAAAAAAAAAAAAAAATTTAAAAGGACTGGGAGAGAGAAGGGCTGGGGTTGTGGCTCAGTGGCATAGCGCTTGCCTAGCAGTGTGAAGCACTGGGTTCAATTCTCAGCACCACATATAAATAATTGAATAAAACAAGGGCTCATCAACAACTAAAAAATTTTTAAAAAGGACTGGAAACTTAGCTCTGTGGTTAAGCACCCCAGGGTTCAATCCCCAGTGCAAAAAAAAAAAAAAAACATAGATAGATCGATCTTTTTTAAGAAGGTTTATTCATATGGATTTTGATGATCATAGAAGAATTCCTCTGAAATAAGTACAACCTCTTGTAAGTGATAAATATCATACCAATAAAGTGTGTTCAGTATTCTAGTATGCACAAATAGTATAAATTTTTCCTAAGTTCAAATTGATCCCCACAGATTCTGTATCATTATGTCTCCCCTGCCCTTTTCTAAAAGGATTTGAGGTAATTGCAGTGATATGCATTTAGTAAAGAAAACTAGAACATTGGAGGATAATGCATCACTAATAATATTGTATTAACTGATCTGATCCTGAGTTTCCTATATGATTAGCCAAGAAAAAATAGTGGTAAGTAAGTAGAAAGATTGTGCAAGATCAAAGCACTAATTTGATTAATTAGAATGTTTACTTGCTCTTGCTTTTAAAAACATGGAAGTAGAATCTATTCCTCAAGAGACAATATTTTCTATGTAATATTAGACTTTCAAAACGATTTTCAAGCTCAGGTAAAGAAAATTATTTATTTAAGACTATGTTTATTTTTGTCATGGGAATATTTATGCAGTTAGAAGTTCTTATTCTGTAAAATATATATGTTCAAAAGTTCAAAGTTTCTTTTTTGTTGTTAGGGTTAGCATGGATGTTACCCCTTAGTAACACTCATATAAGTCTAATTAAATCTGAGCCTAGTTATCACTTTTAAGAGTAGCTTGAGTCAATTTAAGTCATTATTAGGGACTCCCAGCCTCCTAGATCACACAGAGTTCCCTAGACTCTAATGTGCATCCCAGGACAGTCATAGAGGACTGTTTTTGCATTCAGTCCGCACTGATCTCTGATAAGCTTAGCATCCCCAGTCTGTGTGATGCCTTGGAGGCACACAGCTTTATTGGTGTGGCAGAGTTTATCTGGGAGATCACTGTTCTGCTCCAGGTCTACTGGCCTAAAGGCCAGCCTCTCTGTGTAGGCAAACCGGGAACCATTTTCCTCTGAGGGCCTGCCATCACCCAGGGACTTCCCAGCTTTGGCTACTCCTGGAAGTGTTCTCCATCCTCTGCCCAGTTTAGGTAATTCTTTTTACCTCTTTCCCGGCTTTCTCCCCAGAGCCACACCTTTCTACCCTACCCCTGCTTCTTCAGACTATCTCAGTGTCCTGAGTCCTCTACATAGAATAAGGTTGGCAAGAACAAAATATACATTAGTAGCTTACTAAATACCTCTACCCACTGAAGTATTAAAAAAAAAAAAAAAAACTTTTTCAACAGTATGTTTATTAGGCACTAGTTTATATTGATCTATAAGGAGTTAATAATTATCACTCTTGAATAAAGATAAAAGATGTGAATTTTATATATATATACCAAATAAAAGTAAAGAGATTCCAAATGTTAAAACTATTCATACACTACTAAAAATGTATTAAGGAGAAGAAATTTGATGACTAATGAATTAATTAGTTCATGTGAATTTTTTTTACCTAGCAAGTTTTGACTTTATTGATGTTTTAGTTAATAAATTTCTTTAATATTTCTCTTAACATTCAGAATTTGACTCAACTTGCAGTTCTCTAAGAAAACAATTTGTCTCCTTTTTTTGCAATACTGAGAATTGTGTTGATGCAATTTAGCACCCTAGATCAAAATAAAATAAATAACTTAGTGGTAAAGCACCCCAGGGTTCAATTCCAAGTACCAAATAAATAAATAAATCAGCATTTTGCAGGTAGGAGACAGGAAATGACTTAGTCTAAACCAGGGTTGTGGTGGTAGTGGTGCATAATTATACATGATAGTGAGCTTCATTGTAAACCAGACTTTCTTCACCCAGGGGCCTGTGAATAGGTGGGAAGAAAAAGCTTCACTTTGGCTTTTTCACTATCTATCAGAAATGGGCATTTTCTTCCATTACTGTATCACAAATTTTTAAAAATTATTTTGTTAAGTGCATTTTAATGTAATTTTTCCTTTGTAACTCCATGAATTTTTTGCATTTAGAAACTTTTTTTGTTTGTTCATTTTTGTTTTATCTATCCAGGATTGAATCTAGGGATACTTAACCACTAAGCCACATTGACAGCCCTTTTTATTTTTATTTTGAGAAAGAGCCTTACTAAGTTGCTGAGGCTAGCTTTGAACTTGCAATCCTCCTGTCTCAGTCTCCTGAGTTGCTGGGATTATATGTGTGTACCTCCATATCTGGCCAACATTTAGAAACATTTTGAGAAGAGGTTTATAGGCTTTATTAAGGGCCTATGGCTAAAAGAAGAAAAAATGTTACCCTCTGTTATGAGGACAGTAAGAACTGAGAAATCTCTGAATTGTGCTTTGCTTTCTTCTTTTCACTGGAGATAATAATATCTGATAATGAACTTCACTTAACATACTGTTATACTTTTAGGTTTATGTACAAGTTAATAAAGAAGCAGCAGACAATAAAAATATAGCAAAATTGGCCCATGAATTCTTCCAACGATTAGAACTGGGTGACATCCAAGCACTTTCACTGTGGCAAAGATTTCGGGACTTGAGCATTGAAGAGTACATTCGGATTTACCAGGTACCTGTTCGCCCCCTGAACCCTTCTGTGATATGGTGCAACTCACTGGCACTATTGCTTAGTGAAGCTGCTGCTTAAGCTCATATTTAAGAATAGATTTCTGGTTGAGTTGGAAATGAGGACTCTAATGTTGTTCTTTGGGCTGGGAGTTCAAGCTACAAAATAATCCTGAGGTGATGTCAGATGACTTTCTAATACTTCTTTTCAGTCTGGTTTTCCTATCCTCTCTCTTATCATGCCTTCACTTAATTTTTTCTTCGTTTACCTCCTTAGGCCTGTATATGATGGTTATAAATTCATTCATTTAATAAACATTTGCTAGGGAAGGTATTCAACAATGAATAAAAGACAAAATTTTTGCTGTCATGGACCTTTTATTGTAGCATAGAGCAAAACAAGTTAGAGTGAAGTAAACAAGAAATATATATAGTCTGTTAGATGGTGTTAGATGGTAAGATTAATCATATATGTTCTGTGACTAGTGTGAGGAAAGATTTTGTAAGAAGTCTACTTATCTGAAGTAAATGAGCAAGATAAAGAACAGTAGGAAAGGAAATCAAAGAGGATGAAGGGTGGGATGTGATGTGGGCCATTCTCCAGGGCTATATAGCATGGCTTTCTGCTATGATAGAAATATTCTGTATCTATGATGTCCATTATGGTAACTGCTAACCACATGTCACATTTCAGCCCTTGAAGGATGAGTAGTACAACTAAGGAAGTAAATTCTATTTTATTTAATTCTAATTTAAGTAGTCATATATATATTGAATAGCACAGTATCATTGTAAGGACTTGACCTGTGTAGTGGCGCAGGCCTATAATACCAGCAGCTTGGGGGGCTAAGGCAGGAGAATTGCAAGTTTAAGGCTAGCCTCAGTAACTTAGGGAGGCCTTAAGCAACTTATTGAGACCCGGTCTCAAAGTAAAATATAAAAAGGGCCAGGGAAATGGGGATGTGGCTCAGTGGTTAAGTGCCCTGGGACCAAAAAAAAAAAAAAAATGTTTTTTTTAATAGGAGTAACTTGAGCTAATTTTTATTTTCCCCATCTACATTACAGATTGTAAAACCTCCTTAATTTTGTTTTACTGTAAGATAATTGGAGATTTAACTAACATTAATTGTTTTCTTTCTGAACCCTTTTAGCGTTTAGGAATATACTTTGATGAATATTCAGGAGAATCATTTTATCGTGAAAAATCTCAAGAAGTCTTAAAGTTGCTGGAAAGTAAAGGACTCCTACAGAAAACGATGTATGATCAGGTTATGATTTTTTTAGTTACGCATTTTTTGAAATTGGTGTTGCTGTATTCTTTCAATAAGGATAACAAAATGCATGGTGCAGCCGTTCTGGCTTTTTCTCATAGTGCTTTTTTTTTTTTTTTTTTGCTTCTGTTTAAAGTACTTTGCCACATGCTTTTGCTGTAATAGCAAAAGCCTGGTAAGGGTGGGAGAAAAGGTATTATCTGTTCTTTATATGAGACAGAACTGAAACACAGAAAATGTAAGTGAACTGCCTTGAGTCACACAAACTGATAAGATGTAACCTTAAAAGGAAGTAGAACTACTTCTTAAGACTCAACCTTATCTTTTTTAAAAAAAACTCCATCCTTTTCAAAAAAGGTTTAAGGAAGCTTGGATTTAAGGAGTAAAAGTGAGCAAATCTGGAAGTAGGGTAGGAAATAATGTCAGAGGTGTTGTTAGTGCATACCTACTGGTATTGTTTTCTTGTATATATTTAATATATATGTAGAATCATTTTATTTTTTAAAAATCATTTTTAATTGACGAAAGAGAAATTGCATGTACTTATGGTATGTGTATGTCTTAATGTATGTATACATTGTTGAGTGTCTAAATTTAAGCTAGTTAACATACTTGACTGTGATGAGAATGAACTCTCTGAAAATCATCTCTCACAGCTGTGATGACATTTAAAATCTATTCTCTTAGCAATTTTCAGTTTATTATACATTATTATTAGTTATAGTCACCATATATAGATAGATCTCCAGATCCTTCTTCCTGTCTGACTGCAACTTTGTACCCTTTAACATCTCATTCCCTATCCCTGGTATATACTCTGCTTCTGAGTTAGATTCTTTTAGATTTCACATATAGGTGAGATCATATAAGTTTGTTTTTCTGTGTTTGGCTTATTTCTCTGAGCATGATTTTCTTCAGACTTATCCATGTTGTCAAAATGACAAGATTTTCCTTTTAAGGCTGGATAGTTTTCCATGGTATGCCATATTTCTTATATCCATCTCCTGTTAGCAAACAACTTGGGTTGATTACATATCTTGGCTATCATGGATAAAGCTGCAGTGAATGTGACAGTGCAGATATCCCTTCAACATACTGATTTCATTTCCTTTGGATGTGTACCCAAAAGTAAGATCATAGTGGATCATAATGGATTATAGTGTAATTCTGCCTGTAAAATTTTTTTAAAGCACCTCTATATTAGTTTTCCACAGTAACGTACTAATTTATAATCCTACCAGCATTATATAAGGATTCCTTTTCTCCACATCCTTACCAACACTTGTTTTTTGTTTTGATAAAAACTGCTCTAAGAGATCTATGAGCACTCACTGTGGTTTTCATTTGCATTTCCCTTATGGTTAGTGATGTCAAGCACCTTTTCATATACCTGTTAGCCTTTCGTGTCTTCTTTTGAGAACTGTCTCTACAAGTCCTTTGTACATTTTTAATATTATTTGTTTTCTTTCTGTTGACATTTGAGTTTTCCTTATATATTCCTGATATTAACCCCTCATCAGATACATGATTTGCAAATACTTTCTCCCATTCTGTAGATTATCTCTTTACTCTGTTGATTGTTTTCCTTAGCTCTGTTGATTGAAGCTTTTTAGTTTGATGTTTCATTTGTCTATTTTTACTTTTTTTGCCTGGGCTTTTAGGATCACAAGCAAGAAATCTAATAATTTTATAATTTCAGGTCTTTTGTTTGTCTTTAAATCATTTTGTACATGGGGTGAGGTAAGGGTCCAGCTCCATTATTCTGCTTGTAAATTTCCAGTTTTCCCAATAATATTTATTGATGAGATGGACCTTTCCCCATTGTGTAATCCTGGCACCTCTGTTGAAGGTCAATTGACTATAAATGTGTGGTTTTTATCTAGGCTTTCTCTTTTGTTCCTTTGGTCTATGTCTCTTTTGAAACAGTATAATCCTGTTTGGGTTACTATAATTTTTAGTAGATTTTAAGATCACTGGTGTAATTTCTCTAGCTTTTTTCTCCTTTGCTTAAGAGTTTTGTGGCTATTTGGGATCTTTTGTTTTTCCATAGGAATTTTAGGATTTTTATTTCTATGAAAAATGTTAGGATTTTGATAAGGAATGTACTGAATCTGTAGATCTGTAGTATGAACATTTAAAAAATATTGTTCCAATCAGTGAACATAAATTATCTTTTCAGGTATTTGTCTTAATTTCTTGCATCATTTTATAATTTTCACTGTACAAATCTTTCACCTTATTTAAATTTATTCCAAAGTATTTTAAATTTGTTGATGCTACTGCAAATGGAATTATTTTTTCTTTATTTCACTTTCAGCTAGTTCATTATTAGTGTACAGAAATTCTTTTGGGTTTTGTTAGTTTTGTATTAGGCAGCTTTACTAAATTTGTTTATTCTAACAGTTTCTTGGTGAACAGTTTAGGATTTTCTATATAGAAGATCTTGTTTCCTATGAAGAAAGACTGTTTAACTTCTTTTCCAATTCAGATGGCTTATATTTCATTTGCTTGCCTAATTGCTCTCTAGTTTAGCTTTTAGCTTCCTGTCAGCTGAGCAGAGAAATAGTGCAAATCACAGGAGCCTAAGCAATTGTAATACAGAAGCATACCAGTTGCTTACAATTGTCACTTTTCATAGTCCCAAAGCAAAATTTCTCCTGTCATCTTTATAAAGAAGACATGCAAAATGTAGTTAATAGCATCATCAGTAATGCTCTTAAGGAAAAGTTTTAAATTGTCATATATAAATTCCAGTTTTTCAGCTGGGTATGGTGGCACACACCTATAATTAACCTGCTCAGGAGGCTGAGGAAGGAGTATTCCAAGCTAGAGGCCAGCCAGGGTCACTTAGTGATATCCTTTCTGGAAAAAAAAAAAAAAAGTGGGAGGCCAGGGCAGAGGATGTAACAAGGTGTTTGCCTAGCCCATGTGAGATCCTGGATTCAAATCCCAGTACAGCCAAAAGAAAAAATCAATTTCAATTTTTGGTCAAGCAAAAATACAATAAAATTCTATGGTTTTTAATGCTGAGGAATACTTTCCAGCATGTTAAAAGTTAGCCTAATATTAATGTATAACATCCAATTAGAAAAAGAGTTTATGATATTTCATAGTTAAAACTCAGTTGTAATCTCATTTTTAAACTAGCCATATTAAAATTTTTACCTGAGTAACTTAGTCAGTGTTACAGATTTTAAAAATATAGGATGGACTGGGGTTATAGCTCAGTGGTAGAGCACTTGCCTAGCATGTGTGAGGCACTGGGTTCAATTCTTGGCACCACATATAAATAAATAAATAAAATAAAGGTCCATTGACAACTGAAAGAAAACAATTTAAAAAATATATGTGTGTGTGTGTGTGTGTGTGTATCATGACCAAACATTAATTATGTCATACCCACTTTTTTTTTTTTTTAATACGAGGAATTGAACCCAGGGGTGCTTAACCACTGAGCCACATCCCAGCTCTTTTTACATTTTATTTAAAGACAGGGTCTCACTAAGTTGCTGAGGCTGGCTATGAACTTGTGATCCTCCTGCCTCAGCATCCCTAGCCTCTAGGATTACAGAGATGTGCCACCATGCCCACTTTTAATAGATTCTCAATCAGAGTTCTTACTTCTTGGTTTTTTGTTCATTGTTTGTTATAGGTTGAATTGAAAAGGCTTATTGCTATTTGATTTGCCAGAGGTGATGTTATAGATGTACTTTTTGAAGTTATAATTTGTTTCAGAGTTGCCTTTTTTGCATTTCTAGAAAAGGAACAGCTATAGTAGATCTCTCTGGGAATGGTGACCCCTCTTCAATTTGTACTGTAATGCGAAGTGATGGGACTTCTCTCTATGCAACCAGGTTTGTTGCGTCTGCAGGGGGAAACATTGGAACGTATATATGACTTGGTGTTCTTTTCCTAGGATTAATGCCAAAATAATCATTTCATCCTCAAAAATCTGTAGGATTTCCACACTAGAATACATTGTTCTACGAACTATAAAACTGAATTTCTTCATAATCAACTACTGTGTATTTTTACAATTGTACATGGTGGGCAATTGTACTAAAAGGTGACCAAGTTAGCTTAGTTCTGTCCTCATACATTAAAGACCATCTTATATGGACATTAATACCAGAACTCATTATGATTATGGTAAAATAGACCAAGAGAGATGTAGGCCTGTTGCTTTTATGTGTGTGTGTGTGTATTTTTTTCACCCATCTCAATGATTCATTTCAGGGAAGGGAACATTCTCTGATGATCAGTAAGAACTGGGTTTAAATCCAACATTATTTTTGGGATAAATCTAGTAGTAAAAAGAGTCAGAACAATAAATAGTCATACAAGCAAGCATGACCATACCCAAGCACTGCTGGCAAAAGGCTCCAGTGTCTCCCAGGCAAGAATTTTATATTCTAAGTCACAAACCACTTTTGTTGTTGTTTTATGGTCCTGGGGATGAACGTAGAACTTCATGCATACTAGTCAAGCTACATCCCCAGCCTCTACACAAACTACTTTTGTAGCATAAAGTCATATTATTATTGGCAGTAACTATAATCATTTATTGTAAACAACTTTAAACAACCAGTCTTTTAATTGTCCCTAGAACATTCATCTGTTTCTATTACTTATGGACATTTCCCTTTATCATCATGCAATTGGAGTTGGGAAGTGAGAAGAACCTATGTCTTAAGAGACACATACTTTTTCTAGACACAAAATATATATATGGTAGAAATTTTTTTGTGCCAGCAAATTATCCCTTGACCAGTGGTTAAAAGAAATGTCCATTCAGAATGAAAATTCATATCTGAAAGACTACAACTATCTTGATCTGTTTTTGTGGACTATCATTAGGTCTAGAATTTCAATACTATTACTTTGGGGAAAAAGAAAAAGTCTCCTTGGAACAGAGGATGTATGACAGAGTCCCCACTGCTACCCTGATCTGGTATCTTTTTCAGCCTTTCATTATGTCTAGATATTTCTATATATTTACTTTAACACCTGTACTTTCTCTTTTTACTTTGGGGAAATAATTCTCCCTTTGCTATACTGGGTTCCTTATAGAATACATCTATATGTGAGGATGTGAATTAAAGGAGTTGTTGGAGCAGAAAAGAAAAGTGCAGGAGAATACTGCAAAAAGCACAGAGCATAGGTCTGACACATGGATTTTTTGTTCTGGCACCACAACTATCACTTCCCTATCCAGGCTATGGTTCCCTGCTTTATGAAGTGGCAGACCTGGACTAAAATCACCTGGCATTTCTTCCAGCTTTCAAATTCAGTTTCTATAAACTCAACCTAGAACTGTTTCTTATATTTTCTTTTGTTCTTTGTTTCAAGAGGTTTCTTTTGTCCTTGGCTAAAACCAAAAGTATAATGGGACTATGTAGTTGTGACATCATTTTTGTGATAATCTTCATTTTTGTGATAACCTTTTATTATCATAATCCCTCTCAAGAATCTTGTTAGCTATAGTTTACCTAACTGCAACCCTCATGAATTTTTAATGCCACAGCTCTGCTGTATATTTGTGTGTACTGTAGCATATTTAAGCTGCATAAAGAACAAGATTTTCTTGCCCCTCAGAAACCAGTTTTTGCCTTTAGTGAGAATGCATATTCTGTGCATGAGATGGGTACTGATGATAATCTTCCAACATTTCAAAAGATTTAATAATTTTTTTCAATCCTTCCAGTATTATGTATTAACCAAAACAGTTTTAATATTCAGCTTTAGTATCATTTTAATAATCTTGGACTTATACTTTTATAGTTTATGGTTTACTTTTTATTATTTTACACTAGGCTCAAAGTAAATACTTCGTATTTAATTAGAGATAAAAGAGGTAGGTGTAATTTTTATCAAAGGACTTATGGACTTTTAATATACACTATAAGATATGGCTTCTGAGTAGTCCAAGATTTTGAAGATCCTTAATAGTACTAGAAGAAGAGTGCTTAGATGATACCTCTTTCGCTACTATATCATCTATATTTAAATTATTTAATTGTCATAAACGTGACACTTAGGTTTTTTGTTTTTTTGTAAACATTTACCTAGAAGATACTTTGCCTGTAGCTATTATAGTTTTTATTATTACTTGTTTTAGAGCTTTGCTTATTTATTTGTTTCTCCAGAGCTTTTCTTATTACTACTTTTCCCAAACCTGTTTTGTATCAAAAGTATGTATGTATTAGGACTATACAAGCATGTATCCTATATTTTGGGCTATTGGATAATATAGTAGTTCTTAAATAGAAAAGTTTTGTTGTTATTAAATAGGTAAAATTAGTTATTATTAAATCTACATAACTCTTAATTTATGGCCATTTTTTCAGAGATATAGCAGCTGCTATAGATCGAATGGACAAGTATAATTTTGATACAATGATTTATGTGGTAAGTAATCACAATAAAGATCAAAAGGTTATGACCCCTACATCATGAAAACAGCAGAGATAGAAATTATATACCATGTTGAAAAATACAGAAAAATAATTTTGTCAAACTCAAAATTCAACATTAAATATAGTTCAGGTAGCAACCTTTTTTATATGTGGTGCTGAGAATCAAACCCAGTGTTTCATACATGCTAGGCAAAGCTCTATCACTGAGCTACAACCCCAGCCTGGCAACCTCTATTTTAGAACGACTTTTGTGTGTGTGTGTGTGTGTGTGTGTGTGTGTGTGTGGTGCTGGGGATTGAATCCAGGGTCTTGTACATGCAAGGCAAACACTCTCCAATTGAACTATATACTCAGTCCCTAGAAAGATTTTTTTTTTTTAACTTAAAAATGAAAAAATTCACATTGCTTTATAGTAAAAACATTGCATAAATCAGGAAAATTGTTATGTGAAATTAATAAATTGCACTGTAATGCAATTGTTTTTAAAGAATTTTTTGTTTTCTAGTAGTTTAACTCACAAAAAGTTTTAAAACAGTACCTTTCACCCAGCTATCCCCAAAGGTAATATCTTATCATAGTACTTTTCGATATCAGGACATTGACATTTGTAAAGACCTTGTTCAGATTTCACCAATTTTTACACCTCTCATCTGTGAGTTGGGTTTCATTAAATTTTATCATGTGAATAGATTTATGTAACCATCACCACATTTACAACATGAAATTTTTCTTTCACAAAGCCTACTTTCTGGTGATCAGCCACCAAAAAGTTAGTTTTCCTCCAACCCTAACCCTGTAATATAATATCATACAGTATGTAACCTTTTGAGATCAGCTTTATTCGCCCACTATAATGAATGTTCTTGAGATTTATCCAAGCTGTTTTGTCAGTAATGTTTTGTTTTGTTTTAATGACTGAGTTATCTAGTTTGTTCTCCCCTTTCCTTCCATTTCATGTGCAATCTCTTTTTATTAAAAAAGTTACCATCAAACATCTTTTTATTTATTTATTTTTCATTACTGGGGACTAAACCCAAGGCCCTCCACATGCCGTGGCAAGCTCTCTACCACTGAGCTACACCCCCAGACTTTTTAAAATTTTATTTTGAGACAGGGTCTTGCTATGTTACCCAGATGTCAAACTTGAGATCTTCCTGTCTGAGCCCCTAAAGTAGCTGGGATTACAGTATGCACCACCATACCTGACTCGAACATCTTTTTAAAGTTTGTCTTTGGTCTTCTTGAAAATAGACATCATAATAGCTGAGAGAGAGAGATTTAAATAGAAATCACAGAAAATTAAAGTTCATATTTCCTCTTGACTTGATGGAGTACTATGGCCCTTATTTCCCTCTCTTAGAGCACTCAGTTTAGATACTTTTTTATAGGCATCCCCTTTTCATATTTATATTAAACATACTGATTGACAGTGACTTTAGTCTGTCAAAACTGTTAATTTGATTCAGGTCCAACCTAGTTTTATATAATTATTACTGTATTTTTATTTTAAATATTTTTTTCCCAAGACAGATAAAGGGCAAAAAAAGCATTTTCAGCAAGTATTCCAAATGCTGAAGATCATGGGATATGATTGGGCAGAAAGGTAATGTCTGCATGGTTCTTAATTGCTGCCCAGGGTCACTAAGTATTAGGTCAGCTAAGCCTGAAAATGTACCTAGATAGATTTTTATTCAAACTTCAGATCTTTTAAGTTTTAGGGTGGAGAAGCGGAGTTGATTTTTATATTAATTTATGTTCTGATAGTATGTTTTTGTTAGATATTTGCCATCACTGTCTAGATTTTCAGAATTCTGAATCCCCCTCTTTAAAAGCAACTAGTAGTTTAATCACCTGCTAGTGGTTATCTGGTTATCTTATAAAATAAAGCTCTCTGCTTAGTATATTTGGGGCTTCAACAAGTCACATCTTGTTTTATTTTATTAATTTTAAAAACTTCACCATGATGGGTAGTTTGTGTTCCTCTCTGGAAGAATATTTTGGTATACTCAGGATTACCAGTTCATTTTTAGCTTTCTGTTGACTAAATGCCTGTGCATTTCAGGTGCCAGCACGTGCCCTTTGGAGTAGTCCAAGGAATGAAGACAAGAAGGGGAGATGTCACTTTTCTGGAAGATGTCTTAAATGAGATTCGACTAAGGATGCTACAGAATATGGCTTCCATTAAAAGTAAATTCACATTTTGTTGTTGAAGTCATACCTTACATGCTACTTTTATGTTTTACTAGACTTTCAGGCAATGTGATATAATTGTCTGCTGAACTTTCCCTGGCCATGTCAAAAGTAGCTTTCACTGATTTTTAGATGCCCAAGGTAACAGACCTGCTGCTCATGAATTGTTTATTTTAATAATCTGAATAGAATCTTACTCTTCTTTTCATGGACAGTTCAGGCATCGTCATTCTGTTGTCTGGGTTATTGTGTGAGGTTCCTATGTTACAAATTAGATACAGGTCACAAGCTCATATGGATTTATTTAATCTCCCTTAGAAAAATAAGTGTCAGCTATATCTAATATCTTACAAGGCATATCTGTAGGAAAAATAAATTCTTATTTCTTCCCTTTAATGAGGCAGGAAAAGTAAAAATTAGCCTAAACTAGGAAGGTAAAGTGCCCACTCTGAACTTGTTTGGTTTTAATTGTCAGCATGCATTTTTGGCAGATTTTTTCTCCACCTCTATCTGTGATGTTGGCAGTGTCAGGCAGGTTAAAGAGAGCTGCCTTTGTCTATTTCAGCAACTAAAGAACTCGAGAACCCACAAGAGACTGCAGAGAGGGTTGGGCTTGCAGCGCTCATTATTCAGGTCTGTTTAGATCTCTTCTTATGAGACCTTTTTGTCTGGTATTAGAACAAATCCTAGGGCTAAAGATTTACTGTCATTGTAGGACTTCAGAGGTTTACTCTTATCGGATTATCAGTTCAGCTGGGGTCGTGTTTTCCAGAGTCGTGGGGATACAGGAGTCTTCCTTCAGTACACGCACGCCCGCCTCCACAGGTGAAAAGAGACCACAGGGAAACCACTGCCCTCCCCTAGGTTGGGACCTGGGTGTTGTAGTTCCAAGACCAATAGCAGGCCCTGTTTGTTGGGTTTTTCTAGCATCTCCTATTCAAAGCCAGTTAAAGCACAACAGACCTCCTGTTATTGTTGTTTTTAAATATTTATTAAGCACCTACAAGAAATGCCTTTATGTATATTAACCTTAATTAGCTCAAAATCATGCTGCCAAAGAATGTATTATTGCCTACATTTTACAGATACAGAAACAAATCGAGAATTTGAGGATTCAAATTGAGATTCAATTTTAATTTCTCAGTTGAGAAAATGGAGGATTCAGGTCAAATATGTTAGCACTGAAGTTTAGGGCTATGTTAAGGAGATCAAGACTGTACATTTGAGGTAATGTTCATCACCTACAGTTATGTGTGTGTCCTTGGATGAAGTCTATGATGTTTTTAACTTATAATAGTTTGGAAGAGACTTTTGGATCTGGTTATCTGAATGACCTCAACACTGCTTGCTTACAAGAGCCACAGTCTGTTTCAATTCTCCAGCATCTTCTCAGGTATGATGGTTTTTTGGTATTACCAAGTCTGCTTCTGCTAATTGAATTAACTGTTGGTTGGTATTTTTGCTGACCACTAAAAAGTATGCCCCAAAAGTGTTTTTTCTGCCTTTTGAGGGAAGATGAAGTGCATTACTCAAGATCAGTCTTTGAGTCTTAAAAAGGCTATCACCTCTGAATTAGCAGAAATGCCTGGCATCCACTAGCCCATTGTTTGGGCAGGTAAAGCCTGATAAAAGCATAAACTTATGGTTTTAGAAAAGAACACCTTCTCACCCTGATAAGGAAAAATCCTCCCTTTGTGCAGCTTCTAAAAGGTCATACATCCTTCACTTGCTTGCTGGCTTCAGCTCACAGTCTCAAATAAATCTATCTGTCTGATGCCCCCACACTGGACAGGAGGCCATACCTGTTAGACTTCTTAACATAGATCAGTCCCAAGAAGAATGTGGGTAGCTGAAACCAAGGCAGTTTTCTTTGATTGCCAAACAGTAAAATTTACTCATGGGCAGCTAATTTGTGAAGGAAAATAAACCAACCTGATTTTCTTAGCCTTGAAGGTAGATTTTGTAGATTATGTTCCTCAAATTGGCTGGAGGCTTTGTACATTCATTTTAACAGCCATGATTTAAGTCTGCTCTGGACTAGGCCTAAGAGATAGCAAGATGATTTAGAAAGTCCCTGCATCCGGAATTTGTAAGAAAAATATGCATTTACCTTCAGATGTACACAGGTCTTTTTCCATATGCCCTCTATTCTTAATGATATCAAGTAAGTCTTTTCATCCAAGGTCTCTTAACAACTTAGAGTAATGTGTGCATAGTCTGTCTCTGTCAGCTCTCCCTATCATCTTTCTTTTAGGTTCGACGAAGTGCTTTTTAAATCATCTCAGGACCTTCAACCCAGGCACATTGTTAGTTACCTTCTAACTCTAAGGTATTTGATAATTTTCCTATTTTCAAGCATTAATGACATTTGAGACCTGATCCAACAAAGAACATTTCTTTCATCTAAAGATTTCCTATAAATAGACAGATCCCTTGCCCCCCAAAATTGATGGTTTTGCTGCAAGTTACAGGAATTTTTGCCAATTAGCAATTCAGTTTCATTTATTCATCAGTGACATAAAGTATAGTCACTATAGTCAAATGAATAGGGACAACTACCCATGATGATCTGGGTAGTTACAGCACAGTGCATATTTGTTGTGATACAGTGAACATAAAAGACAATTTTAGCCCAGACCTGGAGGATCAGAAGGGGCTTCTCAGGGGAAAGCAGTAGATATTAATCAGGAGAAGCATGTATCTAGGAAGAAGGAAAAAGCAGAGTTGAGCAAGAACTACAAGGATATTCCTGGAAGGGATGACAGATGATGTCTGTATAGGCCTTTTTGCCATGTACTTTTTGCTATTTAGATTTTCAGGGCAATGGGTCCATAAAAGCATTTTAAGCAGAGGCACAGAAACATCAAGTCAGCTAGAGAGAGGGTAGAGATTGAACTAGGAGGCAAATCAGTGAAACTCTGATAGAAATTTTATGGTTATTTTAAAACCTTTGAATAGAAGTTGAGTCTACTTTTACACAGCAACAGTATTAACTTCCTATGAGCAATTTTTAAAATTTTTTTTTAGTTGTAGATGGACATGATACATTTATTTTATTTATTTGTATGTGGTGCTAAGGATCAAACCCAGTGCCTCACACATGCTAGGCAAGCACATTACCACTGAGCCACTGCCACAGTCCCTCCCATAAGCTATTTAAGAAAGGAAATTTTGCTTTTACTCAATATCTACTAAATTAGAGACTTAGTTGAACTATTTTTTTCAGTTATAGATAGACAACAGACACAATACTTTATTTATTTTAATGTGATTCTGAGGATCAAACCCAGTGCCTCACATATGCTAGGCAAGTGCTCTATTGCTGAGCTCCAAACCCAGCCTTAGGACTATTTTCTTGACTAAATTTTTTTTTCCTTGATAAACAGAGGAAATAAAGCCAGAAAATCTTAGGAAATATCAGTCATTAAATGAATATCCTAAGCATCATTTCTCTGGGACACTGTTCTACTTGGTGCCATACCTGAATAGAAAAGGTGTTTTAAAGAAGAGTAGCCTGTGTGTGTGGAATGGATTGATAACTAGTCTCTAGCCCACCTCCTCACTCTACACAGGGAAAAGGCCGTGGCATATTATACTTTTTAATTTTAAAGATTATCCAAGTAAGTAAAAAGTTGTTAGAAAGGAATAACCTATATTTGTAAAACTAGCAATGAGGGCTGGGGACGTAGCTCAGTTGGTAAAGTACTTGCCTCACATGCACAAGGCTCTGGGTTTAATCCCCAGCCCCACCCCACACACACACACAAAATAAATAAATGAAGGAGAAACTAGCAATGAAATTATAATATCAAGAACTTGGTAATAGAACCAAGACCAAAATTTAAAGCTTGAGTTGAGTGTGTTTTAGTTTGTTTTAGAAAAGCAGTGAACTTCAGTCTCAGCTTTACAACTTTGGATACCTTCTTTAGTGCTTCCAAATTTTGACTTATTCCAATTTGAGGGAAAAGAATTAGATATAACATGAACTTGATAACAGGAAATTTCTTCTTGTTCCAATGATGATTTCTCTCTTTCTGTTTTAGTCATCTTGCAGCTGTGGCACACAAAACACTCCAAATAAAAGATAGTCCTCCTGATGTGGCTGGGGTAGGTTATAATGAATGTCTTTCCTGGAATCCTTAGCAGCCTCAGACCAAGATTCCAAAACATTAGTAGAATTTTATCAAATAACATTTTATTGTTACACTATAGAAATGTATTTTCTGATTCAGGTAATAATTAAGAATTGGAGTCTAACAACCAATGCTCATAAACTAAGAAACACATTTTCCTACATCCAGTATAGAGTTGAAAAGTTCAACCATTCCCACTCCACAAATGCCTTCTGTACTAGTCTTGCTGTAAGGGATTCAAGAATTTGTTCCTTTACCTATAGTAAACTCTAGGGTACTTGAAATATTATTCCTACTTTAAATTAGAAGTTAGAATTGCTTCTAAAACTTGCTGGTGCAGTGGCACATGTCTGTAATCCCAGCAGCTCTGGAGGCTGAGGCAGGAGGATCAAGAATTGAAAGCCAGCCTTAGCAAAAGCAAGGCACTAAGCTACTCAGTGGGACCCTGTTTCTATATAAAATTCAAAAAAGTTAGGGCTAGGGATGTGGTTCAGTGGTTGAATGCCTCTGAGTTCAATCACCAGTACCTCTACTCCCCCCAAAATTATTTCTCTTCTAAAACCATTCTTATTTATTTACTTACAGGTAGCATGTTATTGAACATCTAATCATTCTTTGGTTTATTTTGTAGGCCAGACTTCATCTTTTCAAAGCTGTCCGTTCTGTCTTGGCCAATGGAATGAAACTTCTTGGAATAATTCCTGTATGTAGAATGTAATTTGTAATTAAAATGGTGTTTTAAAATGCTAAGTGAATTTCAGTTATTTGTTTTTAGATGCAATACGTATGACTTACCAACTTATTTAATCCTTATCCTTAAAAAAGTAATGTGAGTTCCCTCATGGTCAATAGGTACTTAGACATTTGTAAAACTAAGCTGTGTCATTTTAAACTCAAAATATCGTGGTCTAATGGGGATAAAGAATTTAAACTATGATTTGACGTTTCTTATAGTGTCATTCTTCCAGAAATTAATTTTGGGCAGGCAGGGGAGAATCAAGGATTGAACTCAGGGGCCCTCGACCACTAAACCACATCCCCAGCCGTATTTTATATTTTATTTAGAGACAGCAAGAGCACCTCACTCTTGCTGAGGCTGGCTTTGAACTCGTAATCCTCTTGCCTCAGCCTCCCAAGCCGTTGGTAGTCATGGCTAGTTCTGAAAAATAAGACTAAAAAAAAACTAAGCATCTTTTTGGCAGTATAGCTGACAACTACTTCCAGGGAGAACCTACCTCACACTTACCTTTTAGTTGATACATACTGGCAGCTTCCTATGTTAACTTCAGGCTGAATATATTTGAATAGCAAGAAAATTAATTGTACAGACATTCACAAAATGCAGTCCAATAGTTAAACTGTATTTGAAGAGGAATTAAAAAAAAAAAACTTTATCTACATATTTGTTACGTAGATTTTGTATGACTTGATGCAATAACATGAGCTTGATTTAGATGAGTAGGATGTGATTTGTTTGATCAGCGCCATCCTCTGCCAGCATTTTCATTCACATCTTTTGTAAGTCATTCTAAGTGTTGCTAGTAGAAGTTTTCTGAATACAAAAATTTTCGTCTCTTTTTATGAAGAAAAACAATGAGTCAAAGTTTCTCCAGTTGGAATAACCATTGTTTTATATTGGCAAGTATGGTTTACCTTCATCTAGAAGACTCATCCATACAGTCTCAATTTTAAGTGAGTTAGATTCCATACTATTTTCTGCTTAAAATTCCCTTAGCACAAACATCCATAGAATAAAAATGTATAATAGGTACAACCAGAGATATGAAAAATTGTGCTATGTGTAATAAGAATTGCAGTGCATTCCACTGTCATTTATTTTTTACAAATCAATTAAAAAATTAAAATAAAATGTACAATAGTAACATGTTTTATATGTGCATGCAGTATCATCCCTCTACACTTCTGAGACATTTTCTCCTTCCCAGATCAATTTGAATCTTAAGTGATATGACACATGGACAGTAATGGTTAGAGCAAAGTCTTCACAAAAGCAGGTCCCTGAAAAAACACTCATTAATTTCTACAACCAAGAGCCCTATAACTCTGATTGCTATTATTTAGATTTATTTGGTTTTGTTTCACTTAAACCACGTTTATAGATATTATTTGCGAACAAAGAACCTTGATATGATTCTACATGCTGAAAGAAATTGGTTTGGTTTTCTATGTTTTTGCATTCTTAATGGTCATATCTACATTACAAAAAAAGTGATTAAACAGAATTCATATAAATAAGTTTATTGCTGAATTTCCCAATTAACATTATAGAAATTTTTTTAAAAACACTGAAATTTAACAAATTATTGAGAGCCCAACATTTAACCATACTTTATAAAAAAAAGTATAAAAGTGACATTAGAAATGTTTTTGAAAAAAAGTATACCTTCTAAGAGGAAAGAAATATGAACCAGACAATGAATGGCACAAATACAGCACTAAGTACTCAGTCAGTCACCACCCAGAATCATCGTCTGAGTTATGAAATAGATTCCATTACACATTCAAGTTTGTTTCTGAACTAGCTTGTCTCGTTTCTGACTCTTTAAAGAGCTAGGTCTTTACTGCTCCTGGGACACAATATTGTATGTGAATTGGAGAACAAGGAAGGGCCATCCTTCTCCCCTGATACCTGAACAAGAGAACAGTTAGTACAGAAATGGCTTTGGCACTTTAACCCTTGAACATTGTCCCACACCTTGTTACTTGAACATTGTAGCTTCACGTGATTTTAATACCATATCATCTCCATACTTTTTATATACATCATTTATATATACAGTAATAAAGTTCCTTCATTCTAAACAGTACAGCTTGAACCCAAACAGGCTCACGTTAAATCTCTGTATTAACAGTTCATTCATATAGCTTTCTTCTTGATTCTTATGTCATATCGTTAATTGGTTCTCAGTTTAATCTACCTTCCAAGATTGACTTAAGGCTCTAGTTTAATGCAAATGGTTTAGTGATAGTAGAAATCTCTCCTGAGGCTCAAATCACACTCCAATGATTCTCTCTTTTGAAGCTGTTTCACCTTGTTGGATGGATGTAGTATCTTGTCTAGGTAATCCATAGAGATATATGGAAACACATACAAGAAGAGTACCTAGAGCAAAGGTAAGTGCTGAGAAGGAGGCAAACAAAGAAAAAGAAAAGTTTAATTTGTCTTTGTGCTTTTAAAGCTCTATAACAATAAATTTCTGAAAATTTTAAATTAAGTATTTATACTGTCATAAGAAATAAATCTAAAGGTTCTGTTTTTATGATGGTAATATTTAGAAAGTTTGTCCATTCTAGCACAAAGGAAAAAGGGGCGACATTCACTGATCACTGAGAAAGAACAGCTTCCTATAATTTGAATATAAAATACAAATACATTGAATGCAAAAAAAAAAAAAAAAAGGAGTGTGTGGGGCTGAAGTTGTGGCTCAGTTGTAGAGCGCTTGCCTAACGTGTGGGGCACTGGGTTTGATTCTCAGCACTGCATATAAATAAATAAAATAAAGGTCCATTGACAATTTAAAAATATTCTTAAAAAATACAGTGTGATGTGGCTTTTCCATGATATCAGAAATGTGGAAAAGTTTAGAGTAAAATACACTTGAACAAAATTCAGAGTTAGGTGACCAATTATTCAAATAACTGAAAATTTCTGAATGGGAAGAGATAAAGTGGTGATTTATTGTATAAAATTACATGTCCTGCAATACTTTTTAAATCTTTATTCTGAAAATCAGAATACAAAAAACGGAATTACCACTTGTCAAAAGTTGGCATGTAAGCATTATATAAATAAATGCTTATGATGAAATTCCATTAAAAATAGAACCATATTCTATATAGAGTACAATGGCAGACTCTTAATAGCTTTTTAAAAAATGGCATGCAGAGAAATGACATCAAGCTATGATTTTAATTCACCCCTAAAAAGACCAGCTTTGCCTTCAAAAAAGAGGGGCAGTTTTTATCTTACATCTAAATAGTTAACTGAAAGCATTTTACACTGTTACCAGATTTTCTTCAGGAGCAAGGACCTAAGAACAAATCAGAACTACAATTAAAAGTTCATCTAACAAACAAAAAAATCACCCAAATCAGGTAAGAAAAACATCTATGGAATGTCTGGAGATACCCAACACTGAAGTTTTAGGTGGTTAGCTTTATACAGGTTACTTACTATGAGTCAGGCAGATTCCCTGCAAAACAACCCCAGGAGATAGTGACGTTATTCCCATTTTACAGATGACGAAACAAACATAGGTTATGTAACGTCTCCAAGGTTATACAACTAATAAATGGTACAGGCTAGATTTGAATCATACTATTAAATGGTTTTCTGCAGCATTACTGTTTATCTACCTGCATTTGTAAAAGGAATAAATTCTAAAATTAAATGTAAATACAGGCCAGGCCTACACTTGATAGATTTTCCTTGTGTGTTTTATAATATAGAACTGGTCAATAGTGAAAATGATTATATAGCATAAAGCACCCTAAAATATTTACTGCTTAAGTAATTCAGAAGCCAACTGAATGGCAGGAAACTTATATTAGAAGGACTAACATAGCAGTGGTGTCAGAAAGCTAGCTATAATATTTAACTTATATTAATTACATGAGAACAAAAATGTTTAAATGAAAAAAATAAATCTTTATAAAATAGAAAATAAAAATCTAGACTTGGATTATTTTCAAAACCAATTCACACCTAACCAAGTCCAGAACAGGAAAATATAAGCTAAAGAAGGAGATGAAAATGTTTTCTGTTTTCTTCAAAATAATCCTAACTAATTTAATCCAAGTATCATTTTCTTGAGTACCATTCATATTAGTTGTCCCCGAGAATCTATGGGGCATTGAATCATACTATAAAATGGTTTTCTGCAAAATTACTGTTTATCTACGTATTCCTATTGTAAGAGGAATATGAAAATTTGTACATGTTCTAGTCCCATATATTAAGTGGCATATTTGCATGCAACCTACAGACATCCTTCTGTATACTTAATTTATAGGTTACTTACCATACCTAATACAATGTAAGTGGTTATATAAATACCTGCTCTACTAGATAGTTCAGAGGATAATGACAAGAAAAAGTCTGTATAGATGCATTTTTCCCCCCAAATTTTTTCTAATGGCTGATTGAATTCAGGGATGCAGAACCCACAGATAGGGAGGGCCTACTGTTCACCTTGATCACTCAGGTCGTCATGTATCTAACATCTCTGGAACAGAGAAGCCATGACTGCAAAAAAAAAAGCTCTTTTTAATACCTAAGCAGTCCCCTCACTTTCACATAGAACCCGGCATCCTTCAGCTTCAGCTCTAGGACCATTTAAAAAGCCTAACTATGGCCTCCTTACATTCCACACAATTGTGATTTGTAGTAAGAAAACTAGGAATTTCTACAAACAGCACAGCCAGTTGCCATTTTTAATGAGATGAGTGAATCAGGTAGGTGAAAGGTTCTTCCATATTAACAACTAATATAAACTAAGACATACTTATCTGTAATCCAAACAGCATCACTGAAGCAATGGTAGAAAGGACAATGGCTGCTGCTGCAGAAAAGCCTTTCATAATGTTGTCTGTGTACTTGACCACAACAGAAGTATAGAGGCCTCCAACACTTGCAAGAACTTGAGATAGAGAAAGAGAAAAATCTTAACACTCAAATAAATAAAACATTCCATAATGATGAGCTAATTTCATTCCCAGAAATGCTATACTAATTTACCTAGAAAAAATACTATTTTCCTTAGAAGCAGTCAACTGAGAGTTTGTACTAAAAGTGAATAGTAGTTCCTTCATAAATGTTTCTTGGATGCCTAATAATCTATTACTAAATTGTAAACATTTATTGCTATCACATTTGACACTTTTGATTATGAAAGAAAATTGTTTTGGGGTAGAGTGCCACAAAAGAAAGTCAATAAAACCAAAATTACATTTTTGAACTGATATTCACAGTATCAAAAGAATAATGTCAAAATGCTATAAAGGTTTAAAGTAGATATCTAACCTTAAAAAAAAAAAGTAAAAAGGATCTACTCATAACCTTTAATTCCTGGATACTTACAGATAACAAACCAGACATAATATGTGTAACCATAGAAAAATCCTTTTTCTTTAATTTCAGCTCCATCTGACAAGTAGGCGCCAACTAATGTCACAACAATTCCTGACAGATACATTTGAATGTTTCTCACCCAAAGGGAAGTGTCGGAACTCTTTAAGACTTTTTCAAAATACACTCCTGAAATAAGAAAATTAGACAAGAATATATTAAAGATATTATTATGAATTAATTTAAAACATCTCATTTAGAACATACCCTAGAGATTATAAAGTATATGATTTGAGGAACAAACATTTATTATGTAGGTTATGACACATGATATACTGAATATTACGAATGTGCACTTTTACACCGAACATGAGGTTTAATAACTAAGAGTAACTTTAAAAGCTATATTTGACAGAAGACTATTAAATTATTGTTAAGAACAGTTTCTGCCTTTATTGTAGCAGTAAGATAGATCACAAAAGCTTATTAATGCCACTAAAAGACTTGCATTGGTCAGCCAAAAAAACTATACTATTAAATTATCTTAATCACACCCTTGTTGCAAAATAACCATAAAATCACCAGTTAAAAAGAGTTTTTCCAGTGACATATCCAAAATAAAATTTGAATAGGACTTCCTGAGTAAAGACATCTTCCTATATAAGTTCATAAAATGTCAGAAGGACCATAAACTAGATAATAAACTTTGTGTATATGTGCATTTTTCCCCAAGTTGTGGGTCCATCATTTTTTTGTTTTGAGATACTCAAAGTTAGTATGATTCCCCAGACTAGAAGTCACACACCAGTATTAAGTTTTTTATTTAAATGAATGCATGTTTGACAAGGAATTTAAAATTTTTAGATATAAATACCATGTTAGACTTAGGAACTGGTTCTCAAGTACTCATCAACCAAAACGTTTAATGAAAAATGATTTTTTTTTTATGAACCTATGTTAGAGCCAAAGAATGGGGGGAAAACTGTAAAATACATATATTTATTTCTACTTTTGATTTTATTTCTGCAAAAACCACTTAATTATTCAGTGCTTAGTTTTTCTGATTATAATATTCTAATTATTAAGTTAGTTATTCAAATAATAATTCTTCCCAGCATAGAAGAATATTCTCAAATGTGTATTGAGATGCTGTATCTAAATACAACGGTGGACACAAAATATTTAATTGCTCAAAAAGTTTGCTAAAAATCAAAAATATATTATTTGGGGAAGGGTGACTATTTCTGTTTCTGATTTGTTGGCTCCTAAGAAAAAATGTTTAGCATGATACTGGTTAATTAAGTATAGTCCTAAATTTAGATTTTCTCTGCTTCTAAAACACCTATTTCAAGTAGTATATTTCCATATTCTACCTGTCTTCCTAGTCAAAAATAAAAAGTCCTAACACTTGAAATAGGTACAAATAATAAAAAAATATAGCTATAACTAATATATTCTTAAAGAGGTTCAAGTTTTATTCCTATTGAAAATATTTCTAAAACACATTTCATTTCTCACATTGCACTTCAGCATTCATTATCTTTTCTTTATTCATTGGAGTTGTCCCTACACATATGTCCCCAGACTTTCTGTTTTCTTCATGGTAGTGATTTTATGTTCTCTTCTCTCCCTTTTTAGATGCTATGATTTTGTATGTTTCTGAGTTATACTCCATCCACCTCCTCTTTCTGTTCTGTAGCTCCTAGTCTGTTGAAGCAGAGGACAACTTGAGGCTATAGGCAAAACAGACACCAAGCTGGTCAACATTAACATCCTATTGGAGCTAGCAGTTACAGGAAAATTGGAAAATGTGTTTTGAGCTCTCTGAAGGCCGATTTTTTCCATTTTTCAGGAGTCTGTTTTCATTTAGTTCTGGATTGTTGTCTAGAGTGAGATAGTCAAAGATGAAAAAAAGTATGTTCTTAGAAAGCTAACTGCAAGTCTGAATAAGAACTGAGGTCTGAACTGAGTCAAACAAGGTCACACATTTACTAGAAATAACAGCTGACACCAAACTATAAGATGATAAAGCTTTAATGAGAATAAAATTGTTATGACAAAGCAAGATAAATTAGGTCCATTTTTACAAGTTTTGACTTCAAAAAAATGTAACAACAGGTAAAATGATATTTCCATAACTTACCTGCAAACCCTGAGCACAATACAGCAATTGCTATAGCACCAAACCCTAATAATGGATTCTGTTCCACCTGAAATATTAATTTAAAAGTTACTTTCAGTTGCTAACAAATAGAATTTATCCAACAGTCCACACAAATGAATTAAAAAATCAGTGGTACAGTCCTACCAAAAGTATATTCATATCATGTATTCTATAGAATAAGACAGGACGGAACAAAACATAAAGACCGTTCCAGAAATTAACCAGAACACTTAAGTTAAAATGTATCCTTAAAATCAGACATAAGATATGCATAATATGACATGAATATCTTCTGTTTCCTAATACCAATAACTAGCACAGAATTTTGCATAGTTAGCCTGAATCTTAATTTTCATTTGTCACCACCCTAATTCATACACTTTATAGCATCAATCCTAGAACTTATTTATTCCCTAACAGCTTGAGGATGAAGTGGTGGTTTTGAGACTCCCCTCTTTATCAAATATAGTATAACTTCTGTACCATAATCAGTGCTGTATATTGAATTAATAAATATGATGATGATACACAGCTCTGGCTGTTAAATAATTTCATGTATAGGAAAACTGACAAATATACACTGTGAGACATGTGCTAATAGATATATGTAAATGGGGCCCCAATCTACTGTTTCAACTTTATTTTCTCTTTCTTCCCTAAATTAATCTCCAGGAGTTTTCATCTGTCTCTCCTGAGAGATACTGTTTCAATGTTGCTGAAATTAGAGGGCTGACACTTGACTATAATGTAACAAGAATACACCTTGTTCAAAATAAATAAGCCTAATGTAAGGAGAGTAAGTACCTGAGAGAGAAAGCTTGGTCTAAAATGTTTGTATGATGATAAAAGGAGAAACAGAAGACACTGTAGACCAGTGGTTCTCAAAGTATGGTCCCTGGACCAGCAGCAGCAGCATCACCTGGGAATTTATTAGAAATGAAAGTTGTCAGGCCCTACCCCAGACCTACTGAACCATAAGCTATGGGAATGGGCCCAGCAATCTGTTTTAAATAACCTTCCAGTTGCTTCTGATAAATGCTAAAATTTAAGAGCCACTGCTATACTATAAACTGATTAACATAGATGCTTTCCTAGTAAGATCACAAGACTGGCATAAATACTAGGAAAAAAAATCTTACTGTGAGATTATCACTAAATCTGCTGGGAAGTTCAAACTAGTAAAAATCAGTGTCTAATAACTTCTTGACTTGCTTTCCTGCCAATTTAGTCTCTACAGTTAGGAAAAACAGTGATAAAAACAGCTTCTCTGGATTTAAATTCTGATAAGAACTGATAGATGATGAGGTAGACATGAGAGAAACTTTGGAAGAAAGCAACCTTTTTATCCTAGCATGAGTGATAGCCAGACACAGCAAGTTAAAGGACATGCACACTGTTCTTGAATAAACTGAATTTAATAAACTATCAGTTAATTCCATGGCTAGTGGGATGTTGGTTCGAGACATATTATGAGTTTCTGAAGAATGAGGTACTGATGAAGAGTTAAAAAGAACACATAAAGAAATCAACATGACCCCTGGGGTTGGTGGCACACGCCTGTAATCTCAGTGACTTGGGAGACTGAGGCAGGAGGATCATAGACTTGAGGCCAGCCTTGGCAACTTGAGACTCTGTCTCAAAAAATAAAAAGGGATAGGGAGTGTAGCTCAGTTATAGAGGGCCCCTGGGGTCAATCTCCAGTATCACCGAAAACACAACAAAAAAAGCAACATGACTGCTTGAGGGCAACTTCACTGAATTCTGATTATAGGAACAAAAGAACTGAGGTGCAGATCACCAAGAGGAATATATAATAAGGAATTTCAAAACAGTATCAAGAAACTAAAAAATCAGAATAAGAAGAGCCTTATAAAAAAAAAAAAAAACCTTAAAACATTAAAGAGAAGTGATGTCCAAGACTTCTGATTTGCTATTATAAGAATACCTTGCTAAGTAAGTTCAGAAGTCTCTTTACCAAGAAATTTAGAAATAGAATAATGCTAGTACTAAGTGATTATAGCTGATATTGTTGTATAGAGTACTAGCCAAATGTTAAAGCAGACTTAGATGACTTGAACTTATGTCTAATGGTCATCATTGGAAAACAGTGTGGTTTCCTATTACTGTTAGATATGAGGTATCCCCAAAAGCTCATGTGTGGGACAATGTAAGAATTTTCAGAGGTGAAATGATTAGGTTATGTTTTAGCTGGGTGGTAGCTGTAGTCAGTTAGGGTGTGGCTGGAGGAGGTGGGTCACTGGGGGTTTGCCTTTGTGGTTTATATTTTGTTCTCTCTTGCTTAAAATATTACAGAATTTTCTAGAGTGGCCCAAAGTAGGGTAACCTGCCCTATAACTTGCTTTAGCTAACACCTTTTTTATATACATTACCTATGTGAGGTGAACTTAACAACTTTTCTATTGGTGTGAGGTATCAAAGTTAATATTTAACATTTAAAGGTTTGCTCTCAAATTATTCCTCTAAAGTTTTATAACTGAATTAAATGTGTAGTGCATATCTGATAAATGTTTTGAAATGTCACCAAGAACATGAGCATGCTTCCACATCATCCAAAGGTAATAAATACTAATCTAAAAACATTTTCTGAAAATGGACAGTTTTCTACCAATTTAAAGAGGAACAAACTTGCTACTTTTATAAGTTCTCTTCACATTCCTGGCTGCCTTGTCTTATGTCTAAGAGAACCACAGTCCATTTGTTAAAAGTTGAAGAAAGTATTCAGTTGTAGAGAGAAACCCCTTACTTTTAGAAAGTCATTCACTTGAGTTTCTCTTCCTACTTCTTCTTGGGGAAGAGTTATCAGTTATTAATGATAGAGGCATAGAGTGTTTTCTTAAAAATCAGGTATGTATCTTAACATTCACTCTTAAAAACGTTTTAAAGGGCGCTTTTTTTTTTTTTTTTTGCCTATTATTGTCAGCAAACAGAATACTCGTCCCCTGTCATCCCTATCATTGACAGAATATGTATCAAAAGATGAGAGACTGAGTTGAGAAAGAATGGAAACTAGATGGGCAAAATCTTCCTTAATATATATAGTCTAAAAAAGTCTACAAGTTCTTAATATATTCACCATATGGAAGTTGGCACAGTTGTAATCACAAGTTAGCTATTAACTATCTTCAGACAAGTTACTTCACCTCTTTGAAAATATTATATTTTGTCATACATAAAAGAAAGGGGATATTTTCTAAGGTACCTTCTGACTATAAAATGCACTTTAATACTTTTCTCTAAGAATAAAAGACAATAAGTATTACTATCCTTTATAATAGTATAATGCTAAGGGGGTAAAAGTCTATCAATTAGGCAAAGTTTATTTAAAATCATAGAAATTAATCATATAATGTGATGTCTGAGTATATAAGATAGGAAGTTTCCTATTTTAGTTATGGTATGTATTTTATTTCTTACCACCACTTTTGTAGCTTGAGCTGGTTTCCACTGTACAAGCGTGACTCCGCCACACAGCATAAAAACTGAAATCCATTGTAATTTGCTGAGTGTCCGGTTTAACATTAAAACAGTACATAAAGCAGTGCAGGGAATCTTCAATTGGTAGGTGACCTGGAAACAAAAACAATTAATTAATAAATTCAGCAAAAATTAGCCTCTAACACAAATATATTATTTCTGATGCCATTAACAGAAGTATTGAGAAAAAATATTTCATAACATGAAGAATAAAAACCTTCCTACTCTAAAAGTATTTTTTAAAATTCAGAGCCTTTGATTATCACTAATGCCGCTTACCTGGTATACTGCTGCATCCAGATTGCTAAGAGCTAGGAAAGCCATGTTGTTCTGAACGGCATACACTAACGATGGCACACTTAACTTCATCAGTTCCTTGGGGCTCCCCAAGACGTTTTCACTTAAAGATGTCTTGAATCTACCCAGACTACCAGTTTCTCTTTGAAAAGAAAAGTAGGAGATGAAAGGGTGGTAAGGTAGAAAATTTTAAAACATGGTTTAATAAGATTCCTATCACATAGGATAGTAATACTGTGTTAGGTCTACTGATATAATGTAGCACACTTTAAAAAATAATTTCCAACTATTCAAAGAAGCATACTAATGATAACATTCCCATTTTGAAAATTAAAATTTCCCAAGCACATGCTGTAATTGTAATTCCAGCTACTCAAGAAGCTGAGGCAGAAGGATTCCAAGTTTCAGGCCAGCCTAGCCAATTTAGCAAGACCCTTTATGAAAATAAAAATTTTAAAGAGCTGCAATGTAGCTCAATGCTACATAGAGGACCCCTGGGGTTGAATTCTCAGTACCATAAAAAATATTTTTAAAAAATTTAAAATTCTGCTTTTGTTATTAATTTTTTTTTTTTTTTTTTTTTTTTACTTCCTCTCCCTCAATCCTCCCTCTCCCATGAGGGATCCAATCCTTACCCAGGGCCTACCAGGCTATTTTCAAAAACTGGGTTGTAAAGACTGATATGGGAGCTCCATCATTATTAATTTCTATGTGATGATAACTAGGTTCATGACCATCAACTTCTGGTCAAATATCTAGGAGTTTCTAAGAATATTAGGTAATAAGATATCAGGAAACAGAATTGCTAATAGAGATTACCTACTTAAAAAATCCTCTGCCACTTTACCATATTGCATTAAGTTCAGTCTTTTAATTGATCAGACCATATTTTTAATAGTCTTTTTTTTCCAAATTACACTTTAAGAGCAAAAAAAGAAAAAGGCTACAATAGAATGGAAGTTACTTAGATTAGTGATCAAGTCAACATTATTTGTAAATTAACTTTGCTTATAAAATAGACAATAAATATATATGCATAGTCTCACAAAATTTAAGTCAAACCTATATAATTCTATAAGAAATCTGAATACTAATCTCAACAACAGTAACCTATATCTGTAATGTACAAAAAGTTTACTACCCAACTGCACATTGATTATGCATGCTCTTAATTATCCTTATTTTTGCTTAGGTGGATTGGCTAATCTGGCTCATATTTCCTGTACTGTAAATCAGTTTATTTATTTCCTGAAAATAAAAATAAAGCAATATTTCATAATAAGCATCAATATCTCCCAAAAAGTGCTTTATCAAAATGGTTCTGAATGTAACATACAATACCCTTATTGAGGGCCATAATACTGTTTTGGTAAAATAGCTCTATTTTATGGTAATCAGAATGTGCCTCTGTATTTTGGGTTAACAAATTAAAATCAACAGCTGCAAACTCAATTTTTCATATTTAAATAATGGAAAAATAATTAAGTTCTGAGGGTAAGCAAAACTTCATTATGTCAAATTTATACCTATAGCATTAGTCTAACCCCCAAGAAAATGATTAAGACAGTAAATTTGGCCTAGACCACAGAAACAAAACTTATCCTTCTTAATTACACATCATTTTTTACTGCCAAATTCAACAACCTCCAACTTGTTAGTGAACTACAACCTATAGCAGAAGTGGGGAGGGGAATACCAAAAGGATTGTTCTACTGAAAAGATTTGGCTTTTGTTTTTGTTTTGTGGTACTGGGGATAGAACCCAGGACCTTGTCCATGGTAGGCAAGCACCCCGCCATTGAGCTATACCCCAACTCTTTGTTGCTTCTTTAAAAAATTTCAGATGTCTTACTTACTTTCTTGACATGTTAAAGGGAGTATAGGGAATAATTTTTTTTAAAAGAATGTTTTCTCAATTATAAATTTGTAGGAAAAAAAATTAAAGTAAAAAAAAGTGCCACAGAGGTCTAACCAACCCAAGAAACCATCTTTAATGATGATGAGTTAGGAAACATAAGTAAACATAATTCACTAACCAGAATCACATGAAATCATACAGGCTATGTGAAGTACAGGAAACTACTTTTAGAAGGGTAAAATCGGAGTAGCACACCCTAAAGGAACTACTGAGGTCTCATTTGTACAAATACCTCCATACTCCACCTCCTCCTGTATCCATTTATCTCTAACAAAAAGCTCTTCTAGCTGACTTCATAGGTTACAACATAGTGGCTATTCCTTTCCTTAATCACCAGCTACGGGCAATGCCACTTTACCTCCACCCCTCAGAGATAGAAACCTTCATGGTACTAGTGGCTTTTTTGGCTGTCCAGAGAACAGAGTTGGCCTCTGTACTGTCAGAATATGGGTCACTTAAGGATCAAATTGCTAGTCTGTATAACCACAAGACCTGGATGAATAAAGGTTGTGTGATCCCTTTCCTCCCTGTCAATTTTTCTATATCTTACCTCCCACTTTTTCAGTTTTTACATAAGAAGTAGGGCTTTGCAGACAATCTGGTAACTCTTTTTCCTTCAATGTAACGAACCAATAAAGTGCTGTGTAAGGATTAACCACCATTTTTTCATCTTTTTTGGCCATACATAATCTACTTATTGGATGCTTAAAAGCTATTTTTCTTCAGAATCAGAAAGGTTTAGGTATCTTTTTCTGGCACCTTCTCTAATACAGATAGTACAGAAGCCAAAGTATACCAGAATTCTAATTACTAGAAAGCTCCAATTTCACTGCAGTACCTCAGAATTATAGCAACATTACATAATTATACATAAGATAGTTTTGAAATAAGTTACAGAAGCTTAAGACCAAAAGTTCAAGAACAACAACAACAACCAAAAAAGTAGAAAGACTTAGGAGGTATATGGAAAAATAAGTGGAAATCTTACCACACAAAGTTTAAAAGAAGGGGTATTATTAAGTATTAATCAGATGAAATCCTGCTAATTTATTAAGAGTACAGACTTACAGCTACTTAGCTTTACTCACTAAAGTTTATTAAAAAAAAAATAAATGAAAGTAACAGGAACAAATACCTACCAGAAAATACTAGTAAATCACCTTTCCTTTTGTTTTACTATTAAGAAACAATTGATGCTAAATATACTACAGCCTAATATACTATAGAAATAATAAATAAAACCTAAAGGTTGTTTATCCTGGCTTTTTTTTTGGGGGGGGGGGGAGTCAAATCAAAAATACCTTTTTTTTGAGAATTTTTTAATATTTATTTTTTAGTTTTTGGCGGACACAACATCTTTGTTTGTATGTGGTGCTGAGGATCGAACCCGGGCCGCACGCATGCCAGGCGAGCGCACTACCACTTGAGCCACATCCCCAGCCCCAAAAATACCTTTTAATAAATACCTTTTGTTAAAAATGAATTTATTAAATTTAATAGGAAGAAAAAAAAAGCCATCCTGGAGGCATCAACAATACCTGAATTTAAATTATATTACAGGGCTATGGTAGTGGCATAAAAAATAGACACATAGACCAGTGGTATAGAATAGAAGACACATAGATAAACCTACACAGATAATAGTCATCTATCTGATCCTGGACAAAGGTGCCAAAAACACACATTGGAGAAAAGACAGCCTTTTTAACAAATGGTGCTGGGAAAAAAATGGTTATCCATCTGTAGAAGACTGAAACTAGACCCTTATCTCTCACCCTGCACAAAAATCAACTCAAAATGGATCAAAGACCTCAGAATTAGACCAGAAACTATGCAGCTCAGAAGAAAACAAAGAGTCAACACTCTAGTACACTCTAAATGACTTTCTCAAAAGGACCTCTAAAGCTCAGGAAATAATGCTTAGAGTTAATAAATGGGATGGCATGAAATTAACAAGCTGTATAGCAGAGGAAATAATTAGGAATGTGAAGAGAGAACCTATAGAATGGGAGAATATCTTCACTAGCTACTTTTCTGACAGAGGATTCATATCTAGAATATATATAAAGAACTCAAAAACACCCAACAAATCAAATAACACAATTAATAGACAAATGAATTAAAGACGTTTCTCAGAAGAAATGTAAGTGGCCAACAAGTATGTGAAAAAATATTCATCATCATTAGCAATTAGGGAAATGCAAATCAAACTACACCAAGATTTCATCTGGCACCAGTCATAGTAGCAGTCATCAAGAATGCAAATAATAATAAATGGTGTAGAGGATGTAGAGGAAAAAAAGAACACTTTTTTTACACTGTTGGTGGGATTATAAATTAGTACAACCACTTAAAGAAAATCAGGATGGAGTTTCCTTAAAAGACTAGGCATACAAAGACCATATGACCACTATACCACTCATTGGTATTTATTGAATTAAAGTCATCATACTGCAATGATAAATGCACACCTATGTTTATAGCAGCAGAATCCACAATAACCAAACTATGGAACCAGTCTAGGTTCCATCCATGGATAAATGGATAAAGAAAATATGGTACAAATGCACAATGGACTTTTATTCAGCCATAAAGAAAAAGAAATTATGTCATTTGCAGGACAAAGAATGGGACTAGAGACCATATGTTAAGTGAAATAAGCCAAACTCAAAAAAGATCAAGGGTCATATGTTTTCTCTCATATGTGGAAGCTAAGAGAGGGAGGAAAAAGGAAAAAAAAAAAAAGTGGGGGCAGAGATCTCATGAAAATCAAAGGAAGATCATTAAAGGAAAGGGACCAGGAACAGGGATAAAAAGTGGGGAGGGGAGGAGGAAGTGCTAGGAAGTGATATTGGCCAAATTGTATATTGTGTGCATGTATGAATATGCAACAAATCCATCACTATGTACAACTACAATACATCAATTTAAAAATGTGGAAAGAGGAAAAAAACAAATGACTTTGCTAGAATATTATATCATGAAAAAGCTTTTTAGATATAGTCTTTCCCTATTAAATTTCCTACTTGAACTATTTATTTGATTCTTATCATTGGAATAGAATTCATGTGCAACCTTTTGTTACCTGAAGAAGTCCTGAAGCTCCATGTTGAATGCAGAGATATTCCACTGATGCCTCCCCACCTAAATTTACTATCAACTGACTGAAACCAATTCTTTCTGACCTATTTTTGGGTCAAAAACAGGCCTCATTCTTCCAACTCTTGATCTGATGAGAACTACTAGAAGGCATAAAATCCTGGGCTAATTTACCGAGGCACTGTAAAAAATGAAGGCAGCACAAGTTACTTGTGAGGGTAAGAAATTTTAATTTTGTTTACAAATTTCTTATCATCTGCAAAGTTTAATATATTTAACTCACATAAAAGATTTTGAGTGGCTAGGTATAAAAATCAATAATGTGGTTAATTAAAATCAATAATGTGGTCAATTTGAGGACAATAATACCCACCATATGAGACATACGACTCTTACTTCCCATGACCCTGAACCCATTATAGCATTTGTACAAAGAGTTAGTGAAACACAATCCCACAAGAGAAAAAAATAGATCTAGAAAATCTGTAACATAGGTATTTGACAGCTCCATTAATTTATTCTAGATAATATTGTAAAAGAGTAAAAGAATCTTCTCTGATCTTAATATAGGTAAGTAGTTCAAAGATTTAAGATACATTTGGTTTATTACTAAGACACACCCAAAGTGTACATACGTTAACATTTACACATCTGCTAGGTTTAGTCTTCATAGATTGTGGTGAGTAGCAAACAATAAAAAGTTGACTTTGTCCTAAGGTGGTTTCACTTCCCTTTCTGTCCACCAACAGAGACTGGTGTATATGGTACACCCATATATGGAATCCATGCAGCTTTAAAGAACGAGGCAGATTTCTAATGGATTGACATGACACAAATGCGTGAAAAAGTGTAAAAAAGATAAAATATTTAATTATAAAAAAAGAAAATACAGTGTATCTCACATTATCCAGCAATCACTTCCACATAACTAGTATTCATCAATTAGACCATATAAACCTTATCTATCCAAGTAGCTATCCATTAATTCTTCCCCACATCCTCTTTTTTATATTTGCAGTTCTAACTTAACTTCTGATTGAAATAAGTATAATTCCATATTCCAAAAGTTATAAGTAACTGCAATAGCTCTAAGTAAAACCAATAAGAATGCAAGAATCCTAAATTAAGTAGAAACAGAAACCAAAAATACCTGTCATTATTTCAAATGAATAATGAAATTATATTGAAAAGGGAAAAAGAATTAACCAAAATATCCTAAAACAGCATTTTTATTATATATGCTCTAAAACTAGAAACAAAAACCACTACTACAAACACTGAACTTTAGTTAGTAGGTGTATTTTTCAAAAGTATGCATTAGAAATTCTGAAACTATTATGTATTCTAGGATTGAAAAATAAATATCTTGAAGATAATGGAAGCTAGATTCATAACCATTATGAGTAAAGGGAAGGTTAGAAAACTCTGAAGTGCTGAATCATATGTAACTCATTGTTATACAGAGATATAGATAGGCGTGTGTGTATACACACATGCATATATTCCCTAACTATTTGCTGAAAGGTCTAGAAGCAAGGATAATGTAGTAGCAATATGACCACCTAGTGTCTAGATTCTGGTTTCTAAATACCATTCTGGAGGGAAAAAAAAGAAAGGAACAAGAAATCCTTGAAGAAATGTATGGTTCAGGGTTGAAGCACTAAAAATACAAATAAACCTTCAAAACTTGCTATGCTAAAAAGTTCAGTTCAGAGACTAATGGGGCAGGGAGGGGGGGTGTACTAAGGCTCAAAATAATAATAATAATGAATTCTAACCCATACAATAAAATAATCCATTAGTCCATGGGGCTGGTAGGGAGCTCTTCAGAGTAGAAAAACAATGAATAAATGCACAGGGAATATTGAGATATTAGGAAATGATGGCATATTAGGAATTCTTTTTATGGAGGGAGGGGGTTACTGGGGATTGAACTCAGGGGCACTCAACCATTGAGCCACATCCCCAGCCCTATTTGGTCTTTTATTTAGAGACACGAATCAATGAGTTGCTTAACACCTTGTATTTGCTGAGGCTGGCCTTGAACTCACAATCCTGCCTCAGCCTCCTGAGCTGCTGGGATTACAGGCATGCACCACCATACCTGGCATCAGGAATTCATTTGACAGTATCAATGGACAATAAGACTAATGGATAAAAGCATAATGGTAAAGAGAATATTTAGCTAGTCTCGAACTATCTCACCATAAGATACTTGTTAATTACAACAAGGAAATTGGTAACTTCAGAGAAACCCAACAGATACTACCTTAATCAAGAAATCAAAGTTAAATCAATAGAAACAGGACTAATAGATGGCATGTACATCATAATATGTTGCACTGAGAAGGACGCATCTTTCTGTAATATTCCTACACCCCCCCCAAAAAAAAAAACCCTAAATGTAATCTTAAGAGGCAGTCAACAAATTAATTTGAAAGATATTATACAAAATAAATGGCCCATGCCATTTAACAGTGTTAAGGACACATGAAAAAGAAAGAAGGAACTGTGTGAGATTAATGGAAGCTAGATATATGACAACTAAATGCAGAGTGGGATCCTGGAGTGGACTGCAATTCAGTAAAAATAATTTTACTAGAAAGGACATTAGCAGGGCAACTGACAGAATTTATCTAAGGTCTGCAAACTACATAATGGTATTGTATCAGTATTGATGTCTCAAATTTGATAATTATAATCGAATGACCTTATTCTAAAAGTATGCTTTATCATATGTGTCATGTGCTATAGACCAAATATTTGCTTATGTATCCCCTGCCCCCAATTTATATATTGATGCCCCAAATTGATGGTATTTAGAGGTGGGGGGCCTTAGGTTTAGATGAAGTCGTGAAGATGAAGTCTCCAAGATGGGATTAGTGTCTTCTAAGAAGAGGAAGCTGTAGGCAAATCAGGAAAAGGGCCTTCACAGAAGCCTAAACTGCCTGCACCTTACACTTAGACCGCCCCCTCTCCCCAAGCCTCTGAATCATGGGAAATAAATGTTTACTGTTTAAGCTACCCAGTCTATGGTATTTTGTTATAGCAATCTGAGGACATATGGTAAAAATGTTAAAATTTGGAAATAATAATCTGAATTAAGACATAGGATAAACTGTTAATATTTGGAAATAAAGTTAAAATTTTAAAAAATAAATTATTGGAAACTACTTAAATGTCTAACACTTTCAAGTGCTTTTCTTTGTCCTAACTAACCAACAGACTTTTCAATTATTTCATTGTTCTGAAAAACTCGTAATTTGAAAATTAGAGATCAGACATCTTGTCTTCTACTCCTGTCACTGCCAGTTACTTTCTAGGCACTTTTGGCAAATTAAAACTTTTCCCTTAGCCTAAGATTTCTAATAAGAGCAATTAATAGCAACAGCTGACATGGACAATCAGGAATGAAATGAAAATCAGCTGTATTTACCTGCATGTTTCCTTCATCTTTCTCTAAGGGGGGACATGAAACATTGTTTCCTTAACCCAGTCTCAAATACAATGATTCCGAATGTCTGAAGGCAATAAATTTAGTTGCTGCAGTCTTAAAAAAAAGAATGTTTGGCACTTCTCATAACTGTTTGATGGTGATTAACAGCAGGTATCCTACAGTGTGTAGTTACTTGCTTTCTAAAGAAATGAAATCATGAGGTTTTTAAAAATGCATTTTTCTTTTTTTTTATATATTTTTTTTTAGTTTTAGGTGAACACAATATCTTTATTTTGTTTCTATGTGGTGCTGAGAATCGAACCCAGTGCCTCACACATGCTAGGTGAGCGTGCAACCACTTGAGCCACATCCCCAGCCCCTAAAAATGCATTTTTCACAGTAGTCATTTTTCTAGAGCAATTTTAGCTTATAGCAATAATATGTTTTAAATGGCTCCTCATATTTATCACGATTTTCTTAGCATTCATATCAAAGTATGCACCTCTGCCTTTTGTTCTTTTCCCATGGCCTGAGAAAATGTGATTTGACTTTTTCCCTAAAGAAATAAAAATAAAATCCATAGTCTCTATTGCCCCAATATATATCAGGCACTCTTCATTGAAACCAATTTCTTTCTTACATGAAGTTAAATATCCCCAAAGTTTCAAGCAAATTGCATTCATAATTTTTACTTTACTCTCTTTTAAATATTATGAATGTGCAGGGCAAAGAAGAGATGTAGGATCAGAATTAAGCTATTATCTTCCAGCATTTTAGCGGGCCAGCTATACTCTTCAGCCTACAAAGGTTTTGCCTACTAATTTGAATGTTAGGACACCCATGCCTTAGGGATTACAACCCTTCTACATCTGCCTTAGTGAAAAGATAAAGGGAAGAAAAAGAATCAAGGAGAATTAGTGTCTCAGCCATCTGACCTAGATTGCCATCATAGGTTCTGTCTAAATAGTATTTCCTAATTATAGAAACCTCTTCCACCTCAGATTCTGACAGATTGACCTTTCATTTAAAACATGGGCACTATAGTTGATTGTCCCCCAGATACCATATGTTAAAAGCCTGATCTCCAGCTTGGTGTTATTGGTGGTAGAATCTTAAAGATGTGTGGCCTGGTGGGAAGCCCTTAAATCATTGAGGGCATGCCTTTGAAGGGGACAATGGGACTCCAGCCCTTCATTGCTCTCTATCGCTTCCTGGCCATGAGGTGAGTAGCTTTATTCCACCGTGTATTGCTGCTAGGATTTGCTGCCTTATTACAGAAACAAAAGCAAAGGGCCAACCTATCATGGACTGCAAAGTCTAAATATGAACCAGACTAAACCTTTCTTTTTATAAGTTGATTATCTCAGGTATTTTGTTATAGTGACAGAAAGTTAAGAAACACTGGCTCTGGAACCTAAATAATTTGGGCAGGTCAATCTGCTAGAGATTATATTATCCCTTTTCAGGCTCAAAGTTCTCATTCTTCAGATCCCTAAAGGTTCACCAGGAATTATCACTGAAGCTTCAACTACCTATGCTTAAATTATTGGCACCCAAAGAGTCTAATCTATTCTCTTTGATTGACCTTATATTTACCCTAGCATGCTCAAATTACTTCTTCACAAAGTTCTAAAGCAGTAACCTCAGATCAGACTTACTCTCCTGATTATTCTTAAAGAAACTAACTTCCACTTGTTGAAACAGACTGCATCTGTTTTTTTTTTTTAGAGAGAGAGAGAATTTTTTAATATTTATTTTTAGTTTTCTGTGGACACAACATCTTTATTTTATTTTTATGTGGTGCTGAGGATCAAACCCAGCGCCCTGCGCATGCCAGGTGAGCGCGTTACCACTTGAGCCACATCCCCAGCGCATGATGTATTTTTTATATTTGTTCTGGGGTTTCTAGCTATCCTGTTCAGAAAAGAGAACGCTTTAACATGTATGAAGTCAAATGACATAAGTATGAAAACTTTTTACAAAACCACTCTTTTTAACAATCTATTTTAATCCTATGTTATTAAATACTTTTTATGTGATAAGGACTCTCAGATTTATTTATTCAATCCAGACCTGTCTTCTGAATTCCAGACCCATTAAATCAAACTGCCTGTTCTCCATGCCCACTTAGATGTCTCAATGTCCTTAAAAACTTTATATTATATCTACTCAAAATTAAATTGTTAGTATTTTCTTTTCCCCAAATCTGTTTTTCTTCCTGTCTCAGAAAAAAGCAACTAACCAGGTATTATAGTAGGAAACATGGATATGATTTTGGATACTTCCCTTTCTCTTACCTTATAGTCCATCCTCCTTATTCATAGACTGTATATGTGTTAATTTTCCTACTCTCTAAAATTTATTTGTAACCCCCTAA